TAAGTAAATAAAAAAGAAAGGTGTTTGATGAAGGCTACACACCTAATTGGACTGAAGAGATATTCCTGGTCGATAAAATCCAACCCACAAATCCAATTACCTACAGGTCAAAGGATCTCAACAACGAGGAGATACGCTGAAGGATTTACAAGATTTATCTAACTAATATATAATGGCTGATTATATTGTAAAATGTGTTGAAAAACTGCATTCAGATATTTGCGATAAAGAATATGAACTTGATGAGCTATATGATAAAATCCGCGAAGTGGAGGAAGATCTTGTTGCAATGAGGCACAAACGATCTCTGATGAAAATATATTTGAAAAAGTTGAAAGAAATGGATGACAACATAACACTGGCTGATCTTCTTCATGCAATTTGTACTGATATCATGAATGACAGCTATAAAAACTATTTGAATGTGATCAAGAAAGAGTGATTTTGATATAATATATAACAAGTGGGTTCATGTAGTGTATACTGTCTTTTTGCCATCATGGCCAAAAACATTCTTTGCTTCTGGCTGTTGAAACCAAAACTATTTAAAAGTAAATTATATATACTATAGTAATGACAATGATAGAAAAAGAATTCACGAATAATGAGTTTGAAATTGAATTGATTTCATATATTGATACCAAACAAAATATCTGGTTTAAGGCAAAAGATATTGCCAAAATCCTCGGATACATTCATACGGATCAAGCTTTGAGAAAACATATCGACTCTGAGAATAGAAAAAGCTACCCCGTCAAAACGAAGGGTCAGGTCCGCTGGTCTACTTTCATAAATGAATCAGGTTTTTATTCTCTGGTTTTGTCTTTAAAATTAGAAACTGCTAAAAAATTCAAGCATTTGGTTACATCCCTAGTACTGCCTTCAATCAGAAAATATGGGCAATACAAACTGTTTGACAATCCAAACAACAATATGTCCTAAATAGAAAATAAAACCGATCTTCACTGCAAAGTAGTGCAATACATCAGGCGTTTTTATCCTGAGGCTATCATGACTGCCTTGCTTGGTAAGGACCAAGATACACCAAAAAAACGTATCAACTGATGGCGCAAAGGATATATGAAAGGACAGCCTGACGTCATTACAGCAAATTATCACAAAGAGTATACTGGCCTCTGCATTGAATTCAAAAGCCCCACAAATAATTACCAGATTAGTGAAACTCAAAGAGAAATGAAAAGTCGGTATAAGCAAAATGGATACACATTCCTCATATCAAATGATTATGACCATATCATCACCTATCTGAATAAACACATGATGGGAGTGCGTATTCCATGCAGATACTGCTCCAATCAATTCTGGGCAAATGAAACGTATAAAATACATCTCCAAAGTATGAGAATATTTTCACAAAATATAAAACAAAATTTAGTTCTTATCTAAAGTTTCCATAAAATGTAAATATATATTTTATGGAATCATTTTTAAATCTGGTGGAACCAGTTTTATCACCATGTATATTCCACCAAATGGAAAAATAGCAATATCTACGCGAAAATTAAATCATGAATATGGCCTTGCATCAAACATCAATCAAAAACAGTCCAAAAAGACATAAGAATTGCACTTAGATCTGCGTTATAGCAATTAAGCCTTTACAAAGAATCAAGAGCTCCAGACCATGGATTTTTGCCTTGTACTGGAGTAATACCAGGTACATGCCATATTGATGATGATTGGACTTATAAAGGAGCCATTTTACCTGAACCAGAAGAAGTTATTACAAAAAGCACAATATATATGTGACAAGACATTTCACCTTGAACCAATACTAAAAACGTATAAAAAGAAACTCATTGAAGATCCAATAACTGATAAAAAAATGGAAATGATTGAAAGAGGCGATGTGGATAAACTAGATTTTAGTTGTGAAAAAATAACTAATGATTATTCACACATGATTATAACAGATGAAGCCAAATATCAATCCTATATAAAAGTACAAACAAAAACAAAAATACTATATAGTAAACAGTTATACAAATATGGAGACATGATTGGATTAAAATATTATTAATTTCAGGAAAACCCCCGAAACTAAATACCAGGAATCCCAAGGTTAAACCATATAGTGATACCGAAATAATGCAAAATGGTCTCGTTCCACCATGCCCTATACTAGTTGCCTAGTGACAGCGTATTTGTTTTTAAACAAATATCTGTGATTATTAACATAGAGTGCAAATATTTGCTTCAGATGTTGTCGATAAAACTCAAATGATGTCCTTGTTAACAATGAACAAGGGCGTACAAGGGAACAAATTCGCAAGAAAAAAACGCATTTGACGCAAAAAGATACGTAGCGTCACAGGTTTTCATTAGTCCGTTCCAAAAGGAACTCACTGCGTCGCGTCTCATCTTAATTCTTACGATGGCTTGTATGTCTGTGACTTTTTGTTGGAGTTTGGTGACCTTCTATGTCTTGGTGAAGACCCAGGCTTTACCTACAAACCATCTTGTCAATTCGACCTCAACAACTCCAATAGGTACCCAGCATTGCAATAATGACCCAACATTGCAACAATGTTGAAAGAAATAAAGGAACAACTGGGTCAGTTACAAACCGATATCAATATCCTAAAAGGAAACAACTCTAATGAGAATGGTATGAATTCCTTTTAATCTGTATTCCTAGTCTAGATTTTTTATCAATATTTATTGTCTTGCAAACCCTCAGATATCATGGGCCAGATAAGAAAATAGCGCTGTAAAGGGAGGGTTTTCTTGGTAGATTAGTCTGGGACGCGGATTGGAATCAAAGGAATTTGGTCTAGAATATCAAATCTTTCATGGGCAATCAATTAATCAGTTTTCTCTGCACCCTCTCTGGTTCAGTCATTGCCTGAGTCATGGTGAATCCTACTATAATATGTTAAGAATTAGTTTAAAAATTAATCTCAGAGTTCTAGTAGCAGAAGGCTACCTCACCACATCAGAATTAATAAAAGAAAACCAGAGATTTCAATTGGCTACGTAACACGAAATAATCAGCTGAAGGAGTCAATATGTACAAAAACAAAATTAGTCTAAACCTAGTTCACTGGTATAGAGCCAATTGTAGTGTAATGCTGTCACCTTATATGGCATTGTATTGTGTAAACTTAAGGTCCCGGATTTGCGACCAAGAGGTGAGCTTGTAATAAATGTCATTTTGATCAACTCCTGATTCCTCCTTAAACAGCAACTCTACACTACTGACAGAAAAAAGTAAAACGATTCTTTTTATCAAGAAGTCCCATAATAGACGTTGACTCCTTAACCCTTTACAGTCAAACCAGGTCAAGCGTTCCCGTCGCTAACGAACTAATGAATTCATTCACGGAAAAATGATTTCGTTTGTTGATTCAATAATCCATTCATAAAATAAACAATCCAATAGTCATATTTAGCCTCGATTCCATAATCGAATGTTGATTCGATTACTGTTTTTTTGAAAAATTACACTTTCCACAAGTTGACCTCAGAATTTTGTTTTTTCCTTTTTTTTTTCTGAGAGTCGAGTGCTGGCAAGTTCTGAAGTTCAAACCCAAACAAACTGTTACATGTACGGCCAGTTTGCATAATCAGTGCAACAGACCTAGGCCTGACCCCTTAGAAAACACGACGGTCAAACTGAGGTCAGTGTATGTGCGGTGATTGGTGGATTTCGATCCTCGGCCTTTGTCAGTTTCTTTGCGTTTGCGGTCTGTCTATTCTAGCTGTTATTTTGATTAAAGGCAATGAAAAACGCAATCGTAAACGGCAGGAAAAGGGAAGCAAATACGATTGAACACAACAGACAAGAATAAAGAACAGGTAGATTTTGTTCATAAACCAAATCAACATTTGATTATTGAATCGAGGTACAATTTGACCGTTGGATTATTCATTTTATGAATGGATTATTGAATCAACAAACGAAATCATTTTTCCATTAATGAATTCATTAGTTTGTTAGCGACGGGAACGCTTGACCTGGTTTGACTGTAAACCCTAACGTCAAAATTCAAATTCTCATTTGTTATCCCGATACGTTTTCAATAGAAGGAGTGGGAGAATTTGTTGAAGTGTCAATTAGATTCATCTTGTATGATCATGTTCTTAATAGGCCATTTTCACGATGACGACATTTGACTACAACTACCAGAATTCATTTCGTTTTTGCTTTCTTATTTAAATTTGTCAATGCCGCTGAACAGAACAATAGCTCTAATTTGCACAAGAAAACAACAAACTAAAGGATTCTGGTAGTTGTAGTCAAATGACGTCATCGTGCAATTGTCCTATTCTCATGACCACTCTGTTTTACTTTTATAAAGCAATGTTATTACAAGGAGAAATTTGACGCTGATCACTCTTAGGATTAATGGAGATTTGGTGTACAGTCAACTCTCATCAAGACGGAGACCTTTGGAACGGGCACTTAGTACCCGCCCCGGGGGGGAATTCCCTTGTATAAGCCATCGGGCTGGGTTTTTGCGACGTTTTGGTCTGAAAACGGGTATACACTTTCCCCATTTTGGTCTGGAATCAGGTATGGTTTTCGAGGGAACTACGGGAGTGTGTGAACTTATTCATCGTTTCTATTCCAAATGAGTACACGAAAGAAAGAGAAATATGCGGATTCGAAATGGATTTGAAGAGTTTTTTGTTTGCCCTCTTATCTAAGTAATGATAACATAATTTCTGCCTAAAGGCCAGGTCTAAAAAAGGGGTATGGATTTTAGAGGTCTGGTCTGAAAACGGGTGTGAAAGATTGTGAAAGATTATATTTTTTTGGTCTGAAATAGGGTCAGGATTTGGAGAACCGGGCGGCACACCCTCACCAAGAATTTTCAGGATAACCCTTCGCCCCCCGGGGTACCCGTCTTAAAGAGATTTCTGTCTTATAGAAAGTCAAATAAAGGGAGTAAACAAAGGCAGGGACCAACTCTAGGTGTCCGTTTTATAGAGGTGTCCTTAAGAGAGAGTCTATTGTAACAGTAATCACTTTCTGAACAGCTAAAGAGCAGAACTGTGCTCAACTTTACAAAGCTGGGGAAAGAATCAGTGGTGTTTATACAATCGACCCTGATGGTCAAGGTGCATTTGATGTGTTCTGCGACCAAACAACAACCGGAGGGGGGTGGACAGTGTTCCAAAAGAGACTGGACGGCTCGGTTGATTTCTACCGCGGCTGGGCTGATTACAAGCGAGGGTTTGGTAACCTGAATGGCGAGTTTTGGCTTGGATTGGACAAGATTAACCGGCTGACCAAATCAAATAACAGGCTTCGAGTTGATCTGGAGGACACTACAGGCAAAACCGCTTACGCTGAATACGACATGTTTGCTGTTACAAGCGAGAGGACTAAGTACCAGCTTAGTTTAGGAACTTATTCAGGTGAACTAATGACACATCGCCCCCCCTCCCCGCCCAAAAAAAAAATTGCATTCAGTGTTTTATTATTATCGTTTAGGAAATCAATCAAGATAAAGAATTCCCTTTGTTTACCAATCTGGTGATCATGACAGAGATAAATACAAATTTTACAGGAACAAAGTCTCAATGCTCATACGTCTAAGTAAAAAAAAACGCATTTCCACAAATATTTTGAGGAACCTGATATCACTAATGCTGAAAAAACATGGCAAGGCATAAGTGAACTCATAAATCGACAGAAGAAGAAACAAAAAGCTATCTTTGCTCTAAAATGGCCGAGAAGTAATAAGCTATTAAATGATCCGACTGAGTTTCCAAATATTTTCAATAATTTTTTCTCGTCAGTCTTAGAAATCTCCCAAAACAACGCTTTAAAAAGAAAATACATGACTGCTTACTTCAAATCCTTTCACAAACAAACGATTATCCTGATCTACCTACCTTATTAGGACATATGCAGCAAATTCAAAATCGTCCGTAATTCACCCACTTGTTATCTTTGCAATCATCTTAATAGTGTACTTGTAAGCTTCTGACTTTGTATTCCAGTTAATCTCAGCTATGTTTTTAACGTAACCTTTGTGCTGTTCCGTACCTTTTTTAGAACTTAATATATTTATATAAGCTTAAATAACTTTTGTTGACCTGTTAATTTAATATAATGCCATGTGTGCGTATTTTGTTTTATATAGACACTGCCCACCTAGACTAGCCTTTTCTATTTGTGGGCAGTGAGAAAATAGAATTGTAAATATCTAAATATCTGAATAAACCAACTTCACTAAAAACAACCAACAACACTAAGTTTAATAATTAAAAAAATTATTAAAAAAATGTCTCTATGGGCTTTCCTTGACTTCGTCATGGTCCTTAGTTATCTCTACAGCTTAAATTCCCCAAAGGGACCTTTCTCTTCCACTTCAATACTACACATTATATTCAGATTTTCTATTTAAAATTTCAAAAATTCCTGGTAAAATTCCCTTGCATTAATTCTAGGAACCGCTTGCGACTCTTTTTCTCAACATCGAGGCGCGTTGAAGCTCTTGTATCAATTCACCATGACTATAACAAATCTTGTGATTTTTTAAGCATTTTTTTTGTTTTCAACTTAAAGCACAAGTTATTCCGACGGTTGTTTGCAAGCAGTGACTTAAAAATTATTCAATTACGCGCGCACGATGGATTTTACTGTCCAGTTACTGAAGGATGACCCGCACCGTCCTATTACCCTGTCCTATTAATGCTAAAATAGGAACAGCTGATAGCCAATCATATTCGTGAAATTGTTACAGTTTTGTTGATAGTAAACCAGTCTTGTGTATTTTTTAGGAACCGCTGGAGACTCTTTTTCTTGGCATCGTGGCCAGCCATTTAGCACTAAAGACCAAGATAATGATAGCTACAAATCAATAAACTGTGCTGTGTACTACAAAGGAGCCTGGTGGTACAAAAACTGTCATGAGTCCAACCTTAATGGTTTGTATCGCCATGGTTCACATTCATCGTATGCTGATGGCGTCAACTGGCGTGCATGGAAAGGATATTACTACTCTGCCAAGAGAGCTGAGATGAAAATCAGACCGGTGAACTTTTAGAATTGTCTTATATTAGAGGGTCACGACGATCACCACTCCTAAAAAGCTGAGCATAGACTTTGATTATGATAGAACAACACCATATAGTATACCAACGTTGTAGAATTATTGATAGAGCCAATTGTTGTTAGCATAAAAAGCGTTTCTGATCGTTTTATTTTTCTAGCTGTGTGATTTAAGGTATAAGAATTTTCAAGTACGTGTGTCCGACCTCACCTAACTTTCACTCGGTAGGGTATATGGAGAGATAAATATAACAAGGTGACATGTGAATCTTGTCGTGTGGAATAGATTTTTAAATAATTAAATCAAATCCGTATTTTTTAACCAACTGAAGGCTGGCAGTCGATTTGAATTACGGGACGGTTCTAAAGAGACTAGTCTGAGTCTGAGACGTGAGGTACGTTCCTTTGAAATATTGATCCCTGACCCGTTTGTTTCCAGGGGAGAGGGAATCTACAATACAATTGCCCTAAAATTACCCTTACAAGAATTTTATGCTTTTCAGATAAGTGAACTATCGTGATGCATCTTAGGAAGGGTTACATCGGGTCAATGATCTCAAAGATAGGAAAATAAGATCTTGGGTTCATGATACAACGATGATAAGGTGCGTTCTTGGATCAAGTTACCTTTCTAAGAAATTGTCCACCCACCCCTACCCTTAAGCCAGCATTTGCCTTACGTGAGAAGCAAGTGTTTATGTTGTTTTAGGGGAGGGGTAGGTGGGCAGTTTCCAGGAAACCTAATTTTTAACCTCGTCCCCAGGGTCTTCTCGCTTTCCAATTTTGCCTTCGATTGGATGATCAATATCCCCAGCAGTTTTCGCTCTGACTGGTTACCTCTCTCTGCATTTCTTGTGTTGCCGTCCTTTTGTTGACCAAACAGCACTTGGCAACATCAACGGCAAGTGGTTATTTCTGCCTTTCTCCACGAGCCTGCATGCAAACGTTTTCCTATTTCCTTTGTTTCACACGTCGTTTACGCTTGAAACAAGAAATTAATAGTCCGCAGTCACAGCTACTGCCAACTGAAATTCAACAAGTAAAGATATTTCACGATTTGTAAAGAGCTTGAAATGGTAAGCACATGAGCTGCAGGTTCGATGCGGGTGCTAAGGAGGGGTGCGATTTCAGCTTAGAACATATTTAGGAATGCTTGCAACGCGGAGCAACCGTTCTTAATAGTCTCGCGCATCCAGGTGACTCTCTTGCGCAATGAACAAGCGATTAACGTATATAACTGAAAAAGATTAGTAGACGAAACGTGTTGTTAAACTGTGAAAACAAGTCAAAGGTAAGCAAAACTTTGTTACATTGTCTCCTCTGAGAATAGCCTTGGCTCAGCTAGAAGGCACATTATGTAAAAAGAGTCAGTGTGAAGTGGCACAGAGAATGGATATTAAGGTGAAAATGGGTGTATACGGTCGTGCGGGTAAATCTGTTGTGCATTTTTTCTCTACGATATCCCAGGTAACCGCTAGGTTAAAGACAAATGTGATACTAACGCCCAGTGCAACGGACGCAACATTGTTGGATGTTACATGTTGCGTCGGTTTGCACACCCTGTTGCATGTTGTTGAGTGTTGTTGGGAGTTGTTGCGCAAAGTTTGAAACCGGTCAAACTTTTAATACAAAATACCTTATCGTTTACCACAAAATTGGCTTGGTGGACGCCTGTTTCACTGTACAGCTTTTTGAGTCACTTTTTACAGAAAGTGTTTATAGTCAATCATATGTGTGCCTTTACAAGAAGGTCTGAAATGAAACATCTGACGCAAGCGTTGTGCAATTCGAATGCGCTCACGTTTCCAAAATGTTCAACTAATCGTTTTTTGAAGAACAACTCTTTTATAACCATGCCATTTCATTTGTGAAAGAATCTAATTCAGTAAAGGATTTTTTAATGACATAGCTGTAACGGATTAGATACATTTAATGAGTTAGTTGACATATTGGCAGTGTGCGCGAATTTGAATTGCGCAACGCTCACGTAGTTTTATACTTGCCTCGTTTGGACCACGTGACCCGAAACACTTTGGCCGCTTTGGTTAGCATTTCGATCCGTAGCCGAAAAAAAAAAATTAGGCTGTTGTTCTATATCCTGTCTGGTTCACCCAGGTAGAAGTCCTGGCATGATGTTATTATGCCTGAGCGCTTCTAGGAAATATAACACGTTTAGCATTTCGATCCGTACAGTATGTTGCCCAGTATCGGGGCACCCCAGTTTAACATTTCAATAGCTTTCCTTTGTTGGTCACAAGAGCTCTGAAATTTGGCCCAGAGAAAATTTATTTAGTCCTTAACTGCCTTAATATGACAAAAGACAGTTTAACTTTTTTGCCTTTGGTTCCATCGCGAAATTAATATTTTTGCAGAACTCCTATGTTGCCCAGTATCCGGACACAACAATAACCACGTAATTGTACATAAATTTCGACAGGCAAGCGACTTATAAGCTTCTCTTGCTCTTGCTAAGTAGTCTCGCAATCTGTTCCGCTAGCATCGTGAAATAAAACATAACAAATGACTGGGTTATGATGGGGAACGCGAGCGGTTGTGTAATAGCAGTGTAATTCTTACTTCCTTGGCTAGGAACTTTTTCACTGATTTAAGGAAGGCATCCGTGGACATGCCGAAGCCGCGGTTTGCTAGCTCAATTACCCAATCTGCAAACGAATTTTTTTCTTCAGTTTTTATTAAAAAAAAGCTTGGCGAAGGGACCTCAATGCGACGGTCTCCTATTTAGTCTGACCTGCAGTGTTGATTTCTTCATACATATAGCACTAATTCCTCCTTCTTTCACATCTCTCAAGCCCTTTGTGACATTTTTCAGACCTTTGCAACCCCATTCTAGCAGTCACAACTGGGGAAAGTATGAGAATTCCAGGTTCAACTCCGACGCTTTCGGTTAAAAAAAACTTAAATATAGAAAATGCAGTCACGCGAAACAAGAGGCGCACACGAAATCAAGTCGCCTCGGAATGAGTGAAGAAAATTTCCGTATGGAGTTGAGTAGAATTCCATTTTACGACTATATCATATATCCTAAGCTTTCATTATAGTTATAGATATGAAATAAATCTTATCCGGATAATGTACGCGGCTAATTCATCGATTCTGTACAGCAAAGAAAAAACTGTCCGGATACTGGGCACCTGACATCAATACAGTTGGTGAATGTTTCTGGGCTCCGTTATTCCAAACAAATCGAATTTCAAAAAGAATTAATAAACTTTCTGAGAACCTGACTTCTTTAAGTATCTTCACGTTAAATATAAAACTGTTTCTTTGAAAATATGCATATTACCAACCCTTTTGTCAACAGCACTAATTTTACTGCGCAGTAAACAGCGTAAATATTAGCCATGAAATGTTTATTCACCTGAAAAGAACGGCGTCTTCTGCGACTGTTTCGCAAGCTTTCAACTAGCCAAAACCTTCATCTTAAAGATGAAATGTTCAGCTTTCATTTGAAATACTTCGTTTACCGATAACTGAAAAGGGAGCCCCAAAAATTGAGTTTTTGTTTTAAGTGTCTGGATACTGGTACCGTCCGGATACTGGGCAACATACAATAGCCGAAAAAAAAATTAGGCTGTTGTTCTTTATCCTTTCTGGTTCACCCAGGTAGAATTCCTGGCATCACGATTATATTATACCTGAGAGCTTTAAGGACATATGACACGTTTAGCATTTCGACCCGTAGCCGAAAAAAAAAAAAAAATAGGGCGTTTTTTATATCCTTATATCCTTTCTGGCTCATCCAGGTAAAAGTCCTGACATTATGTTAATATGCTTAATGGAGTAAGCGCTTGTGAAATATATAACACGTTTAGCATTGCCAACCGTAGAAAGAAAGATATCCTATCTTTTCTTCGTGCTAAATCAATGTAAATGTACAGCTACAGTCAGCATTTAACTACAATAAGCTGAGCACCAACGAAATTGGGTAATATTGAACTATAGATATTTAATCGTCCCTGCCTGCGTTGGCAATGAGATCGACCGCAGACTTTAAAATGTTCTTTTTAGAAGGCACTGAATTATTTTTTCCATACATTTTGTTTGATACCGCACTTTTAATTAATTTTATTTGTCGCCCCAGGATGATGACATGATTGCGTGAAAATTAACGCCTCTGTCATATTAGATGCGAAATACGATCAGAGATTAATGGAATAGGGAATGTTGCAAGCTACTGTGTATCCAGCTGAGATTAGCCTGCGAGCAAGCTCTCCTATACGCTCTTCTCACTTATGGTAATATGCCTGTCTAACCTCGTTTACGGGTAAAAATTCTTTTGAAATTCAAATACGAAAAAGTCGTCTGATTAGCATTTCAAAGGACGTTTTACTCAAAAACGAGGTTAGACGGGCATATTATCGTACGTGAGAAGAGCGTATTTAGGCGAGCGAAGCGAGCCGCACGACAACGCGCGAGCGAGCGGTGAAGCAAATATTTGCTTAAGATTTTGTCGATGAAACTCAAATAATGTCGTTGTTAACAATGAACAAAGGCGTATAAGGGAACAAATTCGCAAAAAAAAACGCATTTGACGGAAAAAGATACGTAGCCTCACAACCGATATGAATATCCTAAAAGGAAACAACTCTAATGAGAATGGTATGAATTCCTTTTAATCTGTATTTCTAGTCTAGACTTTTTTTCAATGTTTATTGTCTTGCAGATACCTTCAAATATCATGGTCCAGATAGGAAAATAGTGCCGTAAAGGGTGGGTTTTCTTAGTAGATTAGTCTGGGACGCAAATTGGAATCAAAGGAATTTGGTCTAGAATATCAAATATTTCATGGGGAACCAATTAATCAGTTTTCTCTGCACCGTCTCTGGTTCAATCATTAGCTGAGTCATTGTGAATCCTACTATAATATGGTACGAATTAGGGTAGGAATTAATCTCAGAGTTCTAGTAGCAGAAGGCCACCTCATCACATCAAAACTCATAAAAGAAAACCAGAGATTTCAATTGGCTACGTACCACGAAATAATCAGCTGAAGGAGTCAATATGTACATAAACAAAATTAGTCTAAACCTAGTTCACTGGTATAGAGCCAATTGTAATGGCATTGTATTGTGTAAACTAAAGGTCCCGAAATTGCGACCACGAGTTTGTTAGATCGGAGTGAGCTTGTAACTAACAGAAAAAAAGTAAAACGATTCTTTTTATCGAGAGGCCACATAGTAGAAGTTGACTCCTTAATAAAGTTTTGGTGTACAGTTAACTCTCTTCTGGACGGAGACCTTCGAGACGGGCGCTTAGTACCCGCCCCCCGGGGGGGAACTCCCTTATATAAGCTATACATGTGTGTGCCGCCCCCCTCGGGTGGGGTTTTTGCGCCGTTTTGGTCTGGAATCGGGTATCTTTTTCGAGGGAACTATTGGAGTGTATGAACGTAGTTATCGTTTCTATTCCAAATGAGTACAAGGAAGAAAGAGAAATTCGAAATGGATTTGAAGAATTTTTTTGTTTGCCTTCTCATCCAAGTAATGATAAAGTAATTTCTGCCCAAAGGCCAGGTCTGAAAGCGGGTGTAGAAAATCACATTTTTTGGTGCTAAATAGGGTCAGGATTTAGAGAAACGGGCTGCACACCCCCACCAATAATTCCCAGGAGTACCCGCTCTCCGGGTACCCGTCTTAGAGAGATGTCCGTCTCATAGAGAGTCAAATAAATGGAGTAAAGAAAGGCAGGGACCAACTCAAGGTGTCCGTCTTACAGAGGTGTCCGTCTTATAGAGGTGTCAATAAGAGAGAGTCTATTGTAACAGTAACCACTTTCTGAACAGCTAAACAGAACTGTGCTGAGCTTTACAAAGCTGGGGAAAGAATCAGCGGTGTTTATACAATCGACCCTGATGGTCAAGGTGCCTTTGATGTGTTCTGCGACCAAACAACAACCGGAGGGGGGTGGACAGTGTTCCAAAAGAGACTGGACGGCTCGGTTGATTTCTACCGCGGCTGGGCTGACTACAAGCGGGGGTTTGGTAACGTGAATGGCGAGTTTTGGCTTGGACTGGACAAGATTCACCGGCTGACCAAATCAAATAACAGGCTTCGAGTTGATCTGGAGGACACTACAGGAAAAACGGCTTACTCTGAATACGACATGTTTGCTGTTACAAGCGAGAGGACTAAGTACCAGCTTAGTTTAGGAACTTATTCAGGTGAACTAATGACACATTGCCTCTAAAAAATTGCATTCAATGTTTCATTATTATCGTCAGTTAATATTCATAATATGTCTTTATGGGCTTTCCTTGACTTCGCCATGGTCCTTAGTTATCTATACAGCTTAAATTCCCCAAAGCGACCTTTCTCTTCCACTTCAATACTACACATTATATTCAGTTTTTCTATTTAAAATTTCAAAACTTCCTGGTAAAATTCTCTTGTATTTAATATATATTCTAGGAACCGCTGGCGACTCTTTTTCTGGGCATCGTGGCCAGCCATTTACCACTAAAGACCAAGATAATGATAACGCCTCCAAAGAAAACTGTGCAAGGTCATTTAAAGGAGCCTGGTGGTACACAAGCTGTCATTCATCAAATCTGAATGGTTTCTACCACCATGGTTCACATTCATCTTATGCTGATGGTGTCAACTGGTATGCATGGAAAGGACATCACTACTCTGCCAAGAGAGCTGAGATGAAAATCAGACCGGTGAACTCTTAGAACCTGTCTTAGAGGGTCACGACGATCACCACCCCTAAAAAGCTGAGCATAGACTTTGATTATGATAGAACACCACCATATAGTATACCAACGTTGTAGAATTATTGATAGAGCCAATTGTTGTTAGCATAAAAAGCGTTTCTAAGCGTTATAATTTTCTAGCTGTGTGATTTAAGGTATAGGAATTTTCGAGTACGCGTGTCCGACCTCACTTAACTTTCACTCGGTAGGGTATATTCAGAGATAAATAAAACAATGTGACATGTGAATCTTGTCGTGTGGAATAGATTTTTAAAGAATTAAATCAACTCCGTATTTTTTTTAACCAGCTGAAGGCCGGCAGTCGTTTTGAATTACGGGACGGTTCTAAAGAGACTAGTCTAAGTCTAACACGTGAGGTGCGTTCCTTTGAAATACTGATCCCTGACGCGTTTGTTTCCAGGAGAGAGGGAGTCTGCAATAAGGCCTTTCCCGATTGTGCTTGGCAACTTTTAAGCAACCAGAGAATGGATGTTCCATTATCAAATCTGTTTAGTTAAGGTGAAAATGGGTGTATATGGTGGTGCGGGTAAATCTGTTGTACATTTTTTCTCTACGATATCCCAGGTAACCGCTGGTTAACGACAAATGTGATACTAAAGCCCCGTGCAACGGAGGGAACATTGTTGGATGTTACATGTTGCGTCCGTTTGCACACCCTGTTGCATGTTGTTGAGTGTTGTTGGGAGTTGTTGCGCAAAGTTCGAAACCGGTCAAACTTAGCCACGGGTAAACGGACGCAACAACTCCCAACATTGTTGAGCCAACAATGTCGGGAGTTGTGGTGTCCGTTTCCACGTGGTCTAAGAGGCATCATGACGGCCTCCGCTCGTACATGGAGAAGGAAATTGAGACATGTCTACTTAATTAGTACATTTAAACCTCCAAAATTTTGCCTGGTACTACCCATTTAGTGGCACCTTCTCTTACAACTCACCATGTCTATGTAAGCAGAAGGGGCGGAACCACAAAATTTTGTTGAGAATGCGGAGTGGGATCCAACTTATGTACACTGTTGAAGCCAATGCTTCACATTGTTCCACCTCGTTACACACTCAGTTTTCTTTTACGTAGATTCTTATGCCGTGATTAGGGTTTAGTACCCAGTTTTGAATCGTTCGTCTCTTATCAATATCATAAGTGTTTAAGCCATCATTGTTTTTTACAGATTTCGTAAATTTGAACAAGTATTCAAGAAGGCAACGTGGAACACAAGTTTCATATTTTAAGCTACCAGATTAAAGTTGTAATAATTTAAGTTTGAAATCAGTTTGCTAAGTAGCTCTAAGTACTAGTTTTTAAGACTATGTTGATACTAGACAGTGGCGGATCCAGACCTTCAGATAAGGGGGGGGGGGCGGTCTCCAAAAGTTTTTTTGGCCTTTCGGACCTCAGTTTAGGCATCAAAATAAGGGGGGCGGGCCTCACGGGTCCCTCCCCTTGATCCGCCACTGCTATACCGGATAGCTTTTGAGCCACCACGATTAACTGAAAAGAACGGCTGTGGCGTCGCGAAGAAGCTCCGCGGCGCCGATCTCTAAAGCAGAGTCACATATCGGATAGGTGTTCTACCATTCTGGTATAGTGTCAACATAGCCTAAGAATCCGTAGGTCGGACCAAGCTCGTCCTCAGGCCTTTTCCATTAAAATAAGGGAAAAGGTAAAAGCCCTGGGTACGAAGTTGCCGACTGACGTGACGGATATCATTACGGCTTTTCGGACTCCTCCGACCCTCGCGCACTCGGATTGACCACTGAAGCAGGCAGTCAGGACCCTATTAGAGAAAGACCCAATAATAATAACAGATTGTCCCGACTTTGACATCTCAGAATGAGATGGGGATTAGGACAGGAAAACCCTACAAATTATAATTTTGCGAATACTAGAGAGTGTCTTCAAAACATATTTAGTATCGATAAAATAATCATAAAGAAGAATTTAGTTTAGTTAAATTGTAATTTATAGTGACGGAATTTCTAATCCGTATTTACAGTGCAATACTACATATCACATTACAAAAAACCAAAAAAGTCTGGTATCCGCATGGCACAATTTTTTTTTAATTGTGTTTGAAGGATACGTTGCATTCCGGATTTCAATTGTCTTTTTGGACTTTGCACTGGTTTGTCCCGAAAACACCAGAACGTGTCAGATGCAATACACACTGAGCATGTACCTACTTCCCTTTAAACTTTCTCGAGGGCCATCGATTTCCTTCTCGCGGGATCAGGAAATAATTTTTGTCTGCTCATCTTTTTTCGCGCAGGTCAGGAGGTCTTAATTTACAGGACACCCGTTTACATTGCCATTCAACATAGGAAGAGTGAAGAAGCACGATGTTTTCTGTTTCCGTGTCTTCAAGTTGGAGTCTTCTGATCTTATTGTTGTTTGTGAACAGCCAGCAAACCTTCGCTAAACCAGCAAAGAGACTTGCAGGTGCGACCACGGTTCCTAAAAAAATCCAGCAATGCAATAATGTGTATTTCTACGAGGCGCCCAACGAGAAAATTGCTACAATTCTGAAAGAAATAAAGGAACAACTGGGTCAAATACAAACTGACATCAATGAAAAGATAGGAAACAAGACAAATGAGAAAGGTATGAACTCCTTACGGTCTTTGTGTGTGTCTAGACCCACTTATCAAATGCAATTCAGTCATCGGAATATATTTCGTGTTATCACAATTATCATACGAGCTTTTTAATTCTCCGATAAACTGGGAATCGCACAACAACTCATTTATTAATCTCTTTAAACCAGATATCATAAGAGCAACCTCAACGTGAGGGTTTTGAGCCGTTAAAAGAAAGGCTACAGCTAAGTTGACCAGAAATACTTTCTCCATATAGCCGTGAAGCTGAAGGAAGGAATTTCTTGATCACGTTCTGTAATGTACCAGGAAACTGTATATCGAAACACAGAGAACTCAACAATATTTAACTTCAAGTCTTTAAGCACATGGCAAGAAGCATTTACTGCGCATGCACGAAACGCATAAGGATTCATGGGATATGACACGTTCCTTACTACAGGGCAAACAAACTCTTCCAAGTTCTTCCCATATAGGATGACAACCTGGGTCCTGGGTAGACAAAAAGTAGAGACTAACTACATCTCCCGTTTCTATCACACGACTGTAAATGTCGATCGGTGAATAACCGAACCAAGATGGGTTAATCTGGATAAGGCAAATCGTAAGTCGAAGCCTCGATAACTTAGTTCTGCCAAAATCATGTCAATTGTGCCCACATAACATCATTTATTAACCGTTTTCATAATGCGGTCAAGGACGATATAGAATAACCTTCTAAATGTCTACAATTATTAGTAACAAGGGACTCCCATACCCCCAAAGGATACCAATCTGGGTGTGGCTTAAGCTGACCTCTAAAGGTGAAAACACTGTTTGAATTCAGAGGTCCGCGCAACACGTAAATATAACTGACTGGTATTTCTAATCAAAGAGATGCTGTAGCCAGAAGGCGTTACTTAAAGTGTAAAATAAAACAAAACTGAATACAGGGCTGGCACTACGGCAAAGGGCTGATTTATTATAGCGCAATATTTCGGCTAACAAAATTAGCCTTCCTCTGGGCCAGACCTATACCTTTGCCGTAGTGCCAGCCTTGCGTTCAGTTTTTTTTTCCTTTAAAGGTGGCTATACTCAAAAACATTATGACGATATTTCTTTTTCATTTAGTTATTTCTTATTTCTTTGCGAACAACCCTAAGCGATACCCAAAAACTGAAATAATGCTTTCCCTATGGTAGGTGAGGAACATCCTTGTCAGTACAAACTGACATCAACTGTCCTGAAAGGAAACAAGACTAATGAGAAAGGTATCAATTCCTTCCTGTGTATGTGTGTCTAGACCCACTTATCAAGTGCCGTTCAGTCGTTGATGATCGTAAGAGCTTTTTTTATGAAAATACTCCCGGGAATCGCATGATTACCACTTTACAACAGGCCCCAGTTGTTCAAAAGGTGGATAGCGCTATCCAGTGGATAACACAAATGAATTCCCTAATACTTATCTGCTGAAAAGTTAGGGATTTATCTGGTGGATAGCGCTATCCAACATTTGAACAACCGGGACCAGATGTCCTAACTCAAACCCCTACGTGAGGTTTTTGAGTTGTTTATAGAAAGGCTACAGCTTTGAATCGAAGCACTTCCTCCTGTGGTGTGGCTGAAGGAAGGAATTCTTGATCACGTTCTTACCTAGGGCTAACAAACTCGTTGAAGTAATTCCCATATAAAAAGACAGCCTTGGTCCACTTTCTTTAAAACTTAGTAAAAGGTAGAAAAAACAGTGGCTATTAGCATCTCCTGTTTTTAAGTGAATGTCGGTCCTTGAAAAACCCAACCAAGATTAGGATAATCCGGATAAAGCAAACGTAAGTCGCTGCTTCGATAACTTAGTACATTAAAGTAGTTTTCTCATAAAAAAATATCAGTTGTGCCCACATAATCTCATTAAGTATTCGTTTGCATGATGCAGTTACAGACGATGTAGTATAATCTACTAAATGTCTACAATTACTAGTAACAGGGATCCTGCCCCCAGGAGGGGATTCCCCGGATTCCCATACCCCCAGAGGAGAGCAATCTAAGCGTGTCTAAGGCTTTCTTGGACCCCTAAAGGAGACCATACTCCAACACAGTACAGCGTCATTTGTTTTCTATTAAGACATTTCTTTGCCATTAACCCTAAACGATACCTCCTTCGGCAAAAATATAAGTGAGACCAAAATCTGTATTTTTCCTTTGCTAGACGACCACCTTCCTCAACATTTTGGATCATTATTCGTTTCTGGGAAACTGCCCGTCTACCCCTTCCCTAAGCCAACATTTTGTCCTTAGTGAGAAGTAAGCGTTTTAACACTCAAAATTTATCATAATCCCAAGGGCGTCCTCCCAGGCGCTAAAGTCCGTACTGCTACTCAAAACGAACTATTATTTCACTGTGGATAATTATTATCAACCCAAATAAGTTCAGTAAATTAATATCATCATTAGAATTATAGTATCATTATAAGCCAGAAAAATACTCGCATGCCCATTTATAACAGCAATTTTTAGGGAGCTAGTCGTAAGCCTGCAGGGGGCGACAGGAAGAGGAAATAGGCGTCCTAGCCTCCCAGTGGCTTCAAGCGGCTTCTGCGCAAGCCTAAGATTGAAAATAATTTGAAGGAAATCTTTTCTGAACAGCTAAAAAGAACTGCGCTGAGCTTTACAAAGCTGGCGAAAGAATCAGCGGTGTTTATACAATCGACCCTGATGGTCAAGGTACCTTTGATGTGTTCTGTGACCAAACAACAACCGGAGGGGGGTGGACAGTGTTCCAAAAGAGACTGGACGGCTCGGTTGATTTCTACCGCGGCTGGGCTGACTACAAGCGGGGGTTTGGTAACCTGAATGGCGAGTTTTGGCTTGGATTGGACAAGATTAACCGGCTGACCAAATCAAATAACAGGCTTCGAGTTGATCTGGAGGACACTACAGGCAAAACGGCTTACGCTGAATATGGCATGTTTGCTGTTACAAGCGAGAAAACTAAGTACCAGCTTAGTCTAGGAAGTTACTCAGGTAAACTACGGACATAGAGTGTGAAAAATTGCATTTAATGTTGTATTTTTATTCACGTCCTCTCACTTCCCTTGCCTTCTTTATTGTCCTTAGTTATATTAATAACCTTGGAAACTTAATAACTTTATGGAGATTCAAAAGGAACTTCTCAACTATTCCCAAATCAGCCCCTCTCATTCACTTAAAAACTTTATATTACATTCAGGTATTCTTGAATATACTTTTCCTAGGAACTGCAGGTGACTCTTTATCTTACCATCGTAGCCAGCCATTTGCCACTAAAGATAATGGTAGCGAATCAGCCCGTAACTGTGCCTTGTCCTTCAAAGGAGCTTGGTGGTACCATGGATGTCACTACTCCAATCTGAATGGTTTTTATCACCATGGTTCACATTCATCGTATGCTGATGGTGTCAACTGGCGTGCATGGAAAGGATATTACTACTCTGTCAAGAGAGCTGAGATGAAGATCAGACCGGTGAACTTTTAGGACTATCTTAGAGTGCCATGAAGATCACCACCCCTAACAAGCTGAGCATAGACTTTGAATATGATAGACAGTTCGACCATGGTATACCAACGTTGTAGAACTATTGCTGGAGTCAACTGCTGTTAGCCGGATAATAAGTGTTTCTAGGCGTTTCCGTTTTTCTAATTGTATGATTTAAAGATATTCGTATTTCGACAAGTTATCATGCCAGCTTTCACTTAACTTTCCTTCGGTAGGGTATATTGATAGATGAATAAAGTCACATGACAAGTTAATCATGTATATGGAATAGATTTTTAAAGCATCTAAATAACCTAGGCATGAAAGTTGTCTCCAGTGGAAAGCCTCACCACTGGTTGCCGGCAGGAGCCCATAAACTCCTGCTACCGGTCAGTTTCAAACGGTCAGTCTGAAACGTAAGGTGTTATGCTTTGAAAAACTGACCCCTAGCGTCGAAGGTGGGAGGGAGTGGTTACTCTAGAACTGCCCTAGCATAACCTTTGCTCTATTCACACAATTTTCGTTGATTCTCCCTTACATGGGGTATCACTTTTCGTTGGGGTAATAGAAGTCATAGAAACATAGAAGACTACAACTGTAAATAAAAAAAATGACAATACGTTAAGTTACTGACCGTTTTCCAAATCTTCAAAGTCTACACGATTTTTACCGAAACTTTTTCCCACTAATTGGAAAAACTTTGCCATGTTTAAAGAAAGGTGAAGTTTGGCGAAAAGTTTTTGGAAACAAAATTATTGCCACGCTTGTCACACAAAGTTTGCCGTCTTCTTTCCTCTCCAGTCCTGCTGTGTAAGTTCACTAATCACTCATATGATTAAAGACCGAATTGGACTCCACTTAGTCGCATTACCATGATGAATTTCCCTTGAATAGGACTAAGGTTTAAGTTCCACAGCTAAGCAAAAATTAAGGGAGGTCCCACCCCATGCCCCGCCAAACTGGGTTCATTTTCAGATCTGTAAATAATCGAATACATTCTAGGAAGGAATACTTCGCGTCGATGATCTAAAGGATAGAAAAATAAGTTGCTGTGTATGCATTCATGATAAAGTGCGTTCTTTTGAATGCGGAAACCTAAATTACTAGATAGCGATACCCGCAAAAGTTTTCGCTCTGCTTGGTAACCTTTGTCCGGATTTCTTGCGTTGCCGTCCACTTACTGACCAAAAAGCCCTTTGTGACATTCATGGAAAGTGGTTGTTTCTGCGTTAATCCATAAGCATGCATGCAGACGTTTCCTATTTTTTGTTTCACACGTCTTTTGCTCTTGAAACAAAAGAGTAGTCCACTGTATAACAGCTACTGTCAACTGAAATCCAACAAGAAGTAAAAGACATTTCACGAATAAAAATAGCTTCAAATGGTAAGTACATAAACTACAGGTGTAAAGGAGAGGTGCGATTTCATGACTGAGAACACGTTTAGTAATCCGTGTTTAGTATATGTGAGGGAATTTATTATCCTTGTTTACTCTGTAACACAAGGTATGCTCAGATATCAGATTCCAAAGTCCAGAAATTTTCAATTGTCTATTAGGACTTTACATTGCCATTCAAAGTTGGAAATATAGTGAAAAGGCACGATGTTTTGTGCTTTTGTGTCTTCAAATTGGAGTCTTCTGATCTTACTGTTGTTTGTGAACAGCCAGCAAACTTTCGCTAAACCAGCAAAGAGACTTGCAGATGCTGCCTCGGTGCCTAATCAAACCCAACATTGCAATAATGTGTATTTCTACGAGGCGCCCAACGAGAAGATCGCTACAATGCTGAAAGAAATAAAGGAACAACTTACTCAAGTACAGACTGACATCAATATTCTAAAAGGAAACAAGACTAATGAGAAAGGTATATATTCCTAGCGGTCAGGTGCCTAGACCAACTAATTAAGTGCAATTCAGTCCTTGGGATTTAGTTATCATGATGATCGTAAGAGTTTTTAATAATTCGATAAACAGGGAATCGCATGATTACCACTTATTTATCTTTAAAACAGATTTTCATACCTCGAACTTGTACGTTAGGTTTTTGAGGCCCGTTTCAAACGTCGTGCTACTGCCGTGCCGAACTCAATTGATCGAATTAAACTTGACTTTAGCTTGGCAGTAGCTAGCCTCCCACGCAGGCGTTTTTAGGGGAGCTCGTATTTCTTCCCTCCCCAGAAAGAAATACGAGCTCCCCTAAAAACGCCTGCGTGGGAGGCTAAGCAGTAGCGCGACGTTTGAAACCAAGCCGTGCTACTGCCGTGCATGCCGAACTCAGTTCATACTGTATAAATACATTAGAATACATTTAAAAGTTTGCTAAACCGTTTCTTTATTTTTGTGTTTTGCTTTCAGCAACAGCCGTTCTATTCGACTGAATTAAATTCCGCGTTTGAAACCAAGTCGTGCTAGTGTCGTGCTGCAGTCGAGCTACAGACGAGCCAGCTTAGCGCAGCAGTAGCACGACGTTTGAAACAGGGCTGAGCTGTTGATAGAAAGGCTACCGCTTTGATTCGAAGCACTTTCTCCTGTAGCCTGTGTACAGACGTCCCCCCTCCCTCAGAAAAAATCTGAGGGAGCTAGGGGGGACGTCTGTACACAGGCTATTCCTCCTGGTGTGACTGAAGGAAGGAATTCTTAACTGGCACGTTCCTAACTAGGGCTAACAAACCCTTTCAAGTAGTCCCATATAAAAAGAGAGCCTTGGTCCACTTTCTTTAAAACTAAGTACAAAGTAGAAAAAAAATAGAGACTAGCAACTTCTCTCGTTTTTAAAAGAATATCGGTCTTTGAATAACCGAACCAAGATAGGATCATCCGGATAATCTAAAAGTCGCTGCCTCAATAACTTAGTTCATTAGCGCAGTTTTCTCAAAATAATATCAATAGTGCCCTTGTGATCTCATTATTAAGAAATCGTTTGCATATAGAATAATATTCTAGGTGTCTACCGATTATTAGTAACATGGCTCCTCTCCCTGAGGAGACTCTTGTTCCCCCAAAGGAGACCAACCTGGGGGTGGCGCAGGAATTATTTTATCCCAAAATTCACCCTTTGAGCCCTAAGAGAGATCAGCATCAAACATCTCCTTGTAATATCATTCCTTTAGAAAACAGAGTGGTCATGAGAATTGAGTACATGATCAGGGAAGATGAGTATATCTGATATTTCAACAAATTCTCCCCACTACTTCTATTGAAAAAGTATAAGGCCAGTAAATGAGAATCTCAATTTTAGTCTTAGGGTTTAAAAGGTTAAAGGAGCCGTGCTCTGACACAGTGTGATCTCATTTATCCATTTCTTTGCGAATAACACTAAGCGATACCTTCATGAATAAAAATGTTGCCTTTCCTTCCTAAACATACTAAGTGAGACCAAAATCTGCAATAATTCTTTCTCTATGCATGATAGACGTCGAACATCCTTGTCATTTTCATAACTAGAAATACGTGCATTGCAGAACCTCGTGAGGCCCGGGGGAGGAGGCTTTAAAATGTTAGGGATGGGAGGGGCGGATAGCGGGAGAGAAATAGAGTAAATTGTGTAACTAGGGAGTGCGGGTTTCAAAACCGGCGCATAATCACAATTGAAAATAATATTAAGGCAATCTTTTCTGAACAGCTAAAAAGAACTGTGCTGAGCTTTACAGAGCTGGGGAAAGAATCAGCGGTGTTTATACAATCGACCCTGATGGTCAAGGTGCCTTTGATGTGTTCTGTGACCAAACAACAACCGGAGGGGGGTGGACAGTGTTCCAAAAGAGACTGGACGGCTCGGTTGATTTCTATCGCGGCTGGGCTGACTACAAGCGGGGGTTTGGTAACCTGAATGGCGAGCTTTGGCTTGGATTGGACAAGATTCAGCGGCTGACCAAATCAAATAACAGGCTTCGAGTTGATCTGGAAGACACTACAGGCAAAACGGCTTACGCTGAATACGACATGTTTGCTGTTACAAGCGAGAGGACTAAGTACCAGCTTAGTTTAGGAACTTATTCAGGTGAACTAATGACACATTACCTCTAAAACGTTGCATTCAATGTTTTATTATTATCGTTTAATATTCATAATATATCTCTATGGGCTTTCCTTGACTTCGTCACGGTCCTTAGTTATCTCTACAGCTTAAATTCCCCAAAGTGACCTTTCTCTTACACTTCAATACTACACATTATATTCAGATTTTTCTATTTAAAATTTCAAAGATTCCTGGTAAAATTCTCTTGTATTATTAATTATAGGAACCGCTGGCGACTCTTTTTCTGGGCATCGTGGCCATCCATTTAGCACTAAAGACAAAGATAATGACAGCCATACATCTACCAACTGTGCTGTGTCCTATAAAGGAGCCTGGTGGTACACAAACTGTCATGAATCAAATCTGAATGGTTTGTACCACCATGGTTCACATTCATCTAGTGCTGATGGTGTCAACTGGCATGCATGGAAAGGACATAACTACTCTGCAAAGAGAGCTGAGATGAAGATCAGACCGGTGAACTTTTAGACCTGTGTTAGAGGGCCACGACGATCACCAATCCTAACAACCTGATCATAGACTTTGTTTCTGGTAGAACGCCACCATATAATATACCAACGTTTTAGAACTGTCTCAGAGCGCCATAGCGATCATTTATTTTATTCAGTCACATTGATGTAAGTCACAGGAAGTACATAATTACATGATAAGGGTAAGAAGAGACAAAGTGCGTCTTACAACGCGTATAACACTATTTACAATGCAATATGATGGCCTGGCTGTATAACTGACTAAATTTCTTTAATAGCATCTTAATTAGCATCTGTGATTATGATAGACTGTTAGACCATGGTGCACCAACGTTGTAGAACGTTTGATAAAGCCAATTATTGTTAGCAATAATTTTAAACGTTTCATTTCTCTAGCTGTGTGCTTTAAAGGTATGAGGATTTCGACTAGGCGTGGCCAGCCTTACTTTATTTGTTAGCAGGGTAGGGTGTATGTATAGATAAATAAAGTCTGCACGTGATGGGACATTTTAATCTTGTGGTGTGTAATAGATTTGAAAGAATTAGTAGTGATGTCTCATTACTGGCTACGGGCCGATTAAAAAAGAAAAATCTGAATCGTGAAGTGTACTGTATCGGGTCTTCTTGAATGCTCCGTTTGTTTCCGGGGCCGAGGGGCTTACTCCTGATTTGACCTAGGATTACTCTTACTCTGGAATTGTATGCTTTATGAATTTCCCAGTAGAGGAAATACAGTAAATCGAAGCCACCATTTACGCTATTTTGTCACAGATCTTCTGTTTATAATTGGGTATAGGTTTTCGTTTGTACTTAAGAAGACTTGGTCACTCTATAAAGGTCGTTCATCTTAATACACATAGCATGCGTAGCAAGCGTTTCCAATCGAGTTATTGCGCGAAAGTTAGAGTGGAAGCGAAAAACAATCCTTCTTTCCCCTCCCCCTCCCCCGTCATTCCTTTTTTTTTTTGCTCTCGTCCCGACGTTCTCGACGAACTCGCGCGGAAACGCTTGCTACGCAGGCTATAATACACATGAATAAAAATCTGAGAATATTTTTATTTATTATATGGCTACAATAGCACGTGACGTCATTCTGTGCACTATGAAACTGGCAGTGCTGGGCCTGAAAGTTTTGTTTTATCAATGCTACAATTTTTGGCCACTTGCTCGAGCTTCCGCTAGCTACCCTGTATGGGAGAGAATTTTTAGGCACGGTTTCGGGTCCCCAGCTGCCCTCAGCTCTCTGCCTGAGACGTGTCGGCCTACACCCGGCCTCGAAGTATCATAGACCTTAGCTAACCAAAGGATACACTGAATTGTTAAAACGGCGAAGTATCACACTACACGCAATAAAAAACAATTCAGTGCAAAGTAAAACAATGTCTACTCAAATGAACAGCCAATCAGTGCTCAGCATGCAGATTATATAGAAACAGCCACTGTGAAGCTGCATGGGGGTTAACTTGGCGATAATCATGTCTACTTATTTGGAGTTGAGTATTATGGTTCTGCTCGTAAATCTGTTGCACAGTTTTATATAAAAAACTGGGGATTCCAGATAACCAATTCGTTGAGGAGGAATGTGATACCAAGAGGCTTTATGAGATCAGAGCGCGCTTTATCAGTGTCTAACGTAACAATTAAACAGAACGCACAGCGTTCTAAAGTAGTGTCTAACGTAAAAATCAAACAGATTATATTTCTGCATTTTATATCGGGCGGCAAGAATTGACGAAAACCGATAAAAAAAAATACCTTATCGTTTACCACAAAATTGGCTTGGTGGACGCCTGTTTCACAATACAGCTTTTTGAGTCACTTTGTACAGGCTTTTTACAGAAAGTGTCTATAGCAGTCAATCATACGTGTGCATTTACAAGTAGGCCTGAAATGAAACATCTGACGCAAGCGTTGTGCAAATCGAATACGCAATATTTCGGCTAACAAAATTAGCCTTCCTCTGGGCCAGAGCTATACCTTTGCCGTAGTGCCAGCCTTGCATTCAGTTTTTTTCCTTTAAAGGTGGCCATACTCCAACACATTATGACGATATTTCTTTTTCATTAAGTTATTTCTTATTTCTTTGCGAACAACCCTAAGCGATACCTTCTGGGGTAAAAATATTGGCTCTCCCTCTGAACAGCCTATAAAGCGAGACCAAAAACTGAAATAATGCTTTTCCTATGGTAGGTGAGGAACATCCTTGTCAGTACAAACAGACATCAACTGTCCTGAAAGGAAACAAGACTAACGAGAAAGGTATGAATTCCTTCCTGTGTATGTGTCTAGACCCACTTATCAAATGCCGTTCAGTCATTGAGATGCATTTTGTGTTATCACGATGATCGTAAGACCTTTTTTTACGAAAATACTCCTGGGAATCGCATAATTACCACTTTACAACAGGCCCCAGTTGTTCAAAAGGTGGATAGCGCTATTCAGTGGATAACACAAATGAATTCCCTAATACTTATCCACCGGATACTTAGCGATTTATCCGGTGGATAGCGCTATCCAACATTTGAACAACCGGGGCCAGATGTCCTAACTCAAACCCCTACGTGAGGTTTTTGAGTTGTTTATAGAAAGACTACAGCTTTGACGCGAAGCACTTCCTCCTGTGGTGTGGCTGAAGGAAGGAATTCTTGATCACGTTCCTACCTAGGGCTAACAAACTCGTTCAAGTAATTCCCATATAAAAAGACAGCCTTGGTCCACTTTCTTTAAAACTTAGTAAAAGGTAGAAAAAACAGTGGCTAGTAGCATCTCCTGTTTTTAAGTGAATGTCGGTCCTTGAAAAACCCAACCAAGATTAGGATAATCCGGATAAAGCAAACGTAAGTCGCTGCTTCGATAACTTGGTGCATTAAAGTAGTTTTCTCATAAAAAAATACCAGTTGTGGCCACATAATCTCATTGAGTATTCGTTTGCATGATGCAGTTACAGACGATGTAGTATAATCTACTAAATGTCTACAATTACTAGTAACAGGGATCCTACCTCCAGGAGGGGATTCCCCGGATTCCCATACCCCCAGAGGAGAGCAATCTAAGCGTGTCTAAGGCTTTCTTGGACCCCTAAAGGAGACCATACTCCAACACAGTACAGCGTCATTTGTTTTCTATTAAGACATTTCTTTGCCATTAACCCTAAACGATACCTCCTTCGGCAAAAATATAAGTGACACCAAAATCTGTATTTTCCCTTCCTCAACATTTTGGATCATTATTCGTTTCTGGGAAACTGCCCACCTACCCCTTCCCTAAGCCAACATTTTGTCTTTAGTGAGAAGTAAGCGTTTTAACACTTAAAATTGATCATAATCCCAAGGGCGCCCTCCCAGGCGCTAAAGTCCGTACTGCTACTCAAAACGAACTATTATTTCACTGTGGATAAATTATTATCAACCCAAATAAGTTCAGTAAATTAATATCATCATTACAATTATAGTATCATTATAACCCAAACAAATACACGCACGCCCATTTATAACAGCAATTTTTAGGGAGCTAGTCGTAAGCCTGCAGGGGGGCGACAGGAAGAGGAAATAGGCCTCCTAGCCTTCCAGTGGCTTCAAGCGGCTTCTGCGCAAGCCTAAGATTGAAAATAATTTGAAGGAAATCTTTTCTGAACAGCTAAAAAGAACTGTGCTGAGCGTTACAAAGCTGGCGAAAGAATCAGCGGTGTTTACACAATCGACCCTGATGGTCAAGGTTCCTTTGATGTGTTCTGTGACCAAACAACAACCGGAGGGGGGTGGACAGTGTTCCAAAAGAGACTGGACGGCTCGGTTGATTTCTATCGCGGCTGGGCTGACTACAAGCGGGGGTTTGGTAACCTGAATGGCGAGTTTTGGCTTGGATTGGACAAGATTCAGCGGCTGACCAAATCAAATAACAGGCTTCGAGTTGATCTGGAGGACACTACTGGCAAAACGGCTTACGCTGAATACGACATGTTTGCTGTTAGAAGCGAGAGGACTAAGTACCAGCTTAGTCTAGGAAGTTACTCAGGTAAACTACAGACATAGAGCGTGAAAAGTTGCATGTAATGTTGCATTTTCATTCACCTCTTATTCATTAATCATTGTCTTTTTGTGAAGGACTTCCCTCAGTACCTTTTTTATTGTCCTTAATTATATTAATAACCTTGGAAACTTAATAACTTTATGGAGATCCAAAAGGAACTTCTCAACTATTCCCAAATTAGCCACTCTCATTCACTTAAATACTTTATATTACATTCAGATATTCTTGAATATACTTTTCCTAGGAACTGCAGGTGACTCTTTATCTTACCATCGTAGCCAGTCATTTTCCACTAAAGATAATGGTAGCGGATCACCCCGTAACTGTGCCTTGACCTTCAAAGGAGCTTGGTGGTACCATGGATGTCACTACTCCAATCTGAATGGTTTGTATCACCATGGTTCACATTCATCGTATGCTGATGGTGTCAACTGGAGAACATGGAAAGGATATTACTACTCTGCCAAGAGAGCTGAGATGAAAATCAGACCAGTGAACTTTTAGAACGATCTTATAGTGCCATGAAGATCACCACCCCCAACAAGCTGAGCGTAGACTTTGATTATGATAGACAGTTCGACCATGGTATACCAACGTTGTAGAACTATTGCTGGAGTCAATTGCTGTTAGCCGGTTAATAAGCGTTTCTAGGCGTTTCCGTTTTTCTAGTTGTATGATTTAAAGATATTCGTATTTCGACAAGTTATCATGCCAGCTTTCACTTAACTTTCCTTCGGTAGGGTATATTAATAGATGAATAAAGTCACATGACAAGTTAATCTTGTATATGGAATAGATTTTTAAAGCATCTAAATAACCTAGGCATGAAAGTTGTCTCCAGTGGAAAGCCTCACCACTGGTTGCCGGCAGGAGCCCATAAACTCCTGTTACCGGCCAGTTTCAAACGGTCAGTCTGAAACGTAAGGTGTTATGCTTTGAAAAACTGACCCCTAGCGTCGAAGGTGGGAGGGAGTGGTTACTCTAGAACTGCCCTAGCATAACCTTTGCTCTATTCACACAATTTTCGTTGATTCTCCCTTACATGGGGTATCACTTTTCGTTGGGGTAATAGAAGTCATAGAAACATAGAAGACTACAACTGTAAATAAAAAAAATGACAATACGTTAAGTTACTGACCGTTTTCCAAATCTTCAAAGTCTACACGATTTTTACCGAAACTTTTTCCCACTAATTGGAAAAACTTTGCCATGTTTAAAGAAAGATGAAGTTTGGCGAAAAGTTTTTTGAAACAAAATTATTGCCACGCTTGTCACACAAAGTTTGCCGTCTTCTTTCCTCTCCAGTCCTGCTGTGTAAGTTCACTAATCACTCACATGATTAGAGACCGAATTGGACTCCACTTAGTCGCATTACCATGATGAATTTCCCTTGAATAGGACTAAGGTTTAAGTTCCACAGCTAAGCAAAAATTAAGGGAGGTCCCACCCCATGCCCCGCCAAACTGGGTTCATTTTCAGATCTGTAAATAATCGAATACATTCTAGGAAGGAATACTTCGCGTCGATGATCTAAAGGATAGAAAAATAAGTTGCTGTGTATGCATTCATGATAAAGTGCGTTCTTTTGAATGCGGAAACCTAAATTACTAGATAGCGATACCCGCAAAAGTTTTCGCTCTGCTTGGTAACCTTTGTCCGGATTTCTTGCGTTGCCGTCCACTTACTGACCAAAAAGCCCTTTGTGACATTCATGGAAAGTGGTTGTTTCTGCGTTAATCCATAAGCATGCATGCAGACGTTTCCTATTTTTTGTTTCACACGTCTTTTGCTCTTGAAACAAAAGAGTAGTCCACTGTATAACAGCTACTGTCAACTGAAATCCAACAAGAAGTAAAAGGCATTTCACGAATAAAAATAGCTTCAGATGATAAGGACATAAACTACAGGTGTAAAGGAGAGGTGCGATTTCATGACTGAGAACAAGTTTAGTAATGCGTGTTTAGTATATGTGAGGGAATTTATTATCCTTATTTACTCTGTAATACAGGGTATGCTCAGATATCAGATTCCAAAGTCCAGAAATGTCTTGTATCAACCCACAGCACAAAAAAACATGTGGAAAAACATTGTGTTGTATAAGATCATAAGTTGAATCTCAGTTTTCAATTGTCTATCAGGACTTTACATTGCCATTCAAAGTTGGAAATATAGTGAAAAAGCACGATGTTTTGTGCTTTTGTGTCTTCAAATTGGGGTCTTCTGATCTTACTGTTGTTTGTGAACAGCCAGCAAACTTTCGCTAAACCAGCAAAGAGACTTGCAGGTTATGTCTCGGTGCCTAATCAAACCCAACATTGCAATAATGTGTATTTCTACGAGGCGCCCAACGAGAAGATTGCTACAATGCTGAAAGAAATAAAGGAACAACTCACTCAAGTACAGACTGACATCAATATTCTAAAAGGAAACAAGACTAATGAGAAAGGTATGATATATTCCTAGCGGTCAGGTGCCTAGACCAACTAATTAAGTGCAATTCAGTCCTTGGGATTTTTTTCGTGTTATCATGATGATCGTAAGAGTTTTTAATAATTCGATAAACAGGAAATCGCATGATCACCACTTATTTATCTTTAAAACAGATTTCATAACTCGAACCTGTACGTCAGGTTTTTGGGCTGTTGATAGAAAGGCTAGAGCTTCGACTCAACGCACTTCCTCCTGTGGTGTGACTGAAGGAAGGAATTCTTGATCACGTTCCTTCCTAGGGCTAACAAACTCTTGCAAGTAATTCCCATAAAAAAAACAGCCTTAACTCACTTTCTTTAAAACTTAGTACAAAGTAGAAAAAAAAAATAGAGACTAGCAACTTCTCCCGGTTTTAAAAAGAATGTCGGTCTGTGAAAAACCGAACCAAGATAGGATAATCCGGATTCAAAAAATCGCTGCCTCGATGACTTAGTTCATTAACGCAGTTTTCTCAAAATAATATCAATTGTGCTCTGGTGATCTGATTAAGAAATCGTTTGCATATAGAATAATATTCTTGGTGTCTACAATTATTAGTAACATGGCTCCTACCTCTGAGGAGACTCTTATTCCCCCAAAGGAGACCAATCTGGGGGTGGCGCAGGAATTATTTTATTATTCACCCTTTGAGCCCTAAGAGAGATCAGCATCAAATTTCTCCTTGTAATATCAATGCTTTAGAAAACAGAGTGGTCATGAGAATTGAGTACATGATCAGGGAAGATGAGTATATCTGATATTTCAACAAATTCTCCCCACTACTTCTATTGAAAACGTATAAGGCCAGTAAATGAGAATCTCAATTTTAATCTTAGGGTTTAAAAGGTTAAAGGAGCCGTGCTCTAACACAGTGTGATCTCATTTATCCATTTCTTTGCGAATAACACTAAGCGATACCTTCATGAATAAAAATGTTGCCTTTCTTTCCTAAACATACTAAGTGAGACCAAAATCTGCAATAATTCTTTCCCGATGCATGCTAGGCGCCAAACATCCTTGTCATTTTCATAACTAAAAAAGTTGCACTGATAATATTTCTCTCGTGTGTGTAAGTTCATGCTTCTTGCAATGTGATGACTGTGTGAAGCACTTATCACAAAACTTACACGTATAAGGCTTCACTCCTGTATGGGTATGTTCATGGCGCTTGCAAGATGTTAAGTACGTAAAGTACTTATTGCAATACTTGCATGGATAAAATTTCTCTCCTGTATGGGTACGTTCATGCATTGTGCAATTTGATGACTGACTAAAGCACTTATTACAATACTTGCACTGATGCGGTTTCACTCTTGTGTGGGTAAGTTCATGCTGCTTACAATTTGATGACTTTGTGAAGCATTTATCACAAAACTTGCACTGATAAGATAAGATAAGAAAAAATCTGAAACGTGAGGTGTACTGTATCGGATCTTCTTGAGTGCTCCGTTTGTTTCCGGGGCCGAGGGGCTTACTTATTGCGCGAAAGTTAGAGTGGAAGCGAAAAACTTCTTTCCCCTCCCCCTCCCCCGTCATTCCTTTTTTTTTTTTGCTCTCGTCCCGACGTTCTCGACGAACTCGCGTGGAAACGCTTGCTACGCAGGCTATAATACCCATGAATAAAAATCTGAGAATTTTTTTATTTATTATATTGCTACAATAGCACGTGACGTCATTCTGTGCACTATGAAACTGGCAGTACTAGGCCTGAAAGTTTTGTTTTATCAATGCTACAATTTTTGGGCACTTGCTCGAGCTTCCGTTAGCTACCCTGTATGGGAGAGAATTTTTAGGCGCGGTTTCGGGTCCCCAGCTGCCCTCAGCCCTCAGCCTGAGACGTGTCGGCCTACACCCGGCCTCGAAGTATCATAGACCTTAGCTATCCAAAGGATACACCGAATTGTTAAAACAGCGAGGTATCACACCGCACGCGATAAAAAACAATTCAGTGCAAAGTAAAACAATGTCCGTGACTCAAATGAACAGCCAATCAGTGCTGAGCATGCAGATTATATAGAAACAGTCACTGTGAAGCTGCATGGGGGTTAACTTGGCGATAATCATGTCTACTTATTTGGAGTTGAGTATCATGGTTCTGCTGGTAAATCTGTTGCACAGTTTTATATAAAAAACTGGGGATTCCAGATAACCAATTCGTTGAGGAGGAATGTGATACCAGGAGGCTTTATGAGATCAGAGCGCGCTTTATCAGTGTCTAACGTAACAATTTCTAAAGTAGTAACGTAAAAATCAAACAGATTATAGTGCGCTATCCAAGGGCGAAGTGTCTAAGTAACAATTGACTCATAGAACTTAGCGGGCTATAGTAGAGTCTAACGTAACAATCAAACAAAATATTGCGCGCTATCGTAGTTTCCAAGGTAACAATGTAACATAGAACATAGCGCGCGAACGGTAACAAATCAGTGACGGATCCAGACCTTCAGATAAGGGGAAGAGGGGGGGGGGGGGGGGGGGCAAGCAGTCCCAAGAAAAAAATTGTTTCGGCCCTTCGGGCCTCTTTTTGGTCTAAAAATAAGGGGGGACCCTCCGGGCCTAATCTTAACCCTAACCCTAAAAATAAGGGGAGGGGACTAATTAAACAGAAAAAAGGATAGGCCATCAGGACTTTTCAAGACTGTTTTACTGTAACCCATATGAAGGTTTCCATTACTCTATTCTACACAGGCTTCAACTCCCAAAATCTCATTCCCGTATGTCCTATCATTGCACTGCACTCTCAAAATGAGTACTTGTGCCTGGCAAGATGAAAAGAGAGGTACTTGTCTTGGGTGATCACAGAACTCCGAGGGGTGTGGAGGGCACTCCCATTAATGGCCTTTACGTTTTTGATGCTCCAGGTATATCAAAGGGTAGAGAATTAACGAGTTGAAGTATCTGGATAGGAAAGTCTATCATTTAAGTATTCAAAAGGGCCTTTGATTACATTTCCAAAAGACCAAAAGCTACATTATTTCAAGTTCTTCGATGTTTCATGAAAAAGAGAAAACCTCTGTTCTAGCCACTTATTCTTTAAAGTAAGTATTAAAAAGGGGCATCATTTTCAGTGTAAGGTATACGCATACGGAAGGGGGTATACACGCCATTGCCAACAAGGACACAACAACTCTAAACATTGTTGGTGCAACAGTTTTGGGAGTTGCTGCATCTGTTTGTACGTAGCTTAAAAGGGTAATGGGTTAAACCTCAAGCCAGAGTGTCCCTGTATAAAACTTTTGTCTATCCAAAAGTCTTGCCTTAAGTTAGGCTCCCACACAGAAATCCTTAGGGCTTAGCCACATGTTCCTTCCCTACAATGTTTGCTGGGGAGGATTGCATGACAAGCTAAAAGTATGTCTGCATGGGAGGCTAGCGATAAGTGCAATACAATAAACAGGAAAAAAAATTCAACCGAGTTTGTAGCGCTGGCTAAATAGCGAGTTTACACAACAGGATGGCAGAAAGAAGAGGACAGCAAATCGCTTGTGTGACAAACGTGACAGGGCTATTACTTACATGTTGTGTCATGATGCTCACTTAACATTAACTTTTTCTGGTCTTTGAAAAACATCTGTTTAAAGGAAAGTGAAGTTTGGCATAAGGTTATTTCAAACAACAAAATATTGTCACCTTGTCACACAAGGTTGCCGTCTTCTTTCCTATCCTGTCCTGTTCCGTAAGTTCACTAATTTCAAAAAGTAACAAGTCTTTCCAAAGAACATATTACAAACAATTGCTACATCGAAACATTAACACTGCAAATAATAAATTGTATTTAAAAACTTAACTAGTCTTTCATGACAACAGGGAAGACAAATTAAAAAGTAGTCTGTTACAAATGTAAAAGGCAAGAAAAAGTGCAAAGGTACAGATTTTCACAGTAAGACATAGTTTGCTCAAGCAAGTAGTTATGAGACAAAATATATTTAAAACTTTTAATACGCACAGAAGCAAATACTAAACAACATTTGTGAAAAAAAAAAAAAATTACAGAAAATTGCAAAGAGGACTAAGATACTAGAAATCTAATGTTACATGTAAACTATGGTTTTATGTAATGAAGTTACTGGCTTTGTCCACATATTGCCATTTGCTTTACAAAACAATTATATTATATACAGGTAATGAAATGGAAGGTGCCATCAAGACAGTGCCACATAAAAGACTATCTTCTTCTTTGGAAAACGTTGGCTCCTCTGCCGCCCCGAGTTGGTGCGCCTCTTCCTCTTGCAGCGGCTGTAAAAATAACACAAGAAATGAGTATAATGAGGCTTAAGTTTCGTTCAGTTTTTTTTCTAGCTTTTCCCTAAATTTTGGTGCCATTGCTGCATACAGAAAAGGCATCAAATCCTTATTCTTGCATTTTGATTCAAGTGCCTTTGCTGTGTCTCTAGTTGGCTTGGCTTCAAATTGATGTTAAAGAATAGTTAACAAGCTTTCCCACACTTACTGTGCTTTTCAAAAACACACAGATTCTGAGGGGCAACAGCCAACTGCCCCGTTTTTTGCTGCCGTCAATCATCTTGGCAAACCTCTTAGGAAACAGTAGTTTACTTCAATGGGTTCTAAAGGTCATTGTTTGTGATTTTTGATTGGTGGATTTTGTTCCGTTTGGTGTGTTTCTGTGCTTCAAGGTTTGTTTCTTGTGATCATAGTTATATTAAATATAAGATACTATAATATATAATATAATATATAATTATGATCACAAGAAACAAATTTTGTCTGAGATTTCACCAATATGGTGTTTGGAGGAGTGACACGAGCAAGCAAACGCGAATTTGGATTTTAAATTGATTCATGCTATTAACAGTCCAACTCATCTTGCAGTCTTCAGTTTTGAATTAGTTATTGTCTGGTAATTACCATCCACTAGGCTGACACTTTCAGACAGATTCACTGGACCACTGAGTCTAATTTGATCAAGCTTCTATTTTTCCTTGCCAGAGATCAAAATTTACTTGCCCTGCGACTGCCATTTTACACCGTTGCCTGAGCCACAGAAAGGTCTAGCCGGTTGCAGTGGAAAGGAATTAACTTCCCTTCTAAACTAATTTTAAGACCCTGATATTGGTCCAGCCCCAGGGGAATTGAACCTGAGACCTCCCACTGTGCAGTCAAGCTCTCTATCACATTACGGAACGGCGCCTGTAGATCCGTGTCGCCCGCAAAATCGCGGGTCCCATGACTATTTGCGCGCTCACAAAGGGAGCCGACGCATGTCGCGTCCTTTGATTCAAGACTCAAGTGTTAGGGTATTGTTTCCACGATACAAAGGTAATTTAACTTAAGAACATCTATAGATCGAAGCTTTCGCACTACTCTCTGTTTTATAAGGAAGTGCAAACGCTCAACTTGATAAATATTTTGACTTGATGACATATTTTAACGATTTAGGCCAGCAGAATGTATTGAATTCCAGGAAACAATTCAGGAAGCCGAACGGTTTTGAACTGCGCTAGACGTTATTTTTATCAGTATGCAAATCACCTACCCAATCACTTACTTTCCATCGAATTGAAATATCCTGACTTTTTTAACCACTTTTCGACTTGATTCGTTTCATTTTATATTATTTTGTGCAAGCTGAGCTCTTTCATGCGAATTTACGCTTTCAAAAGGAAAAAAACTTCGAGGAAACGTTGTGTTTACAACCACGGCAATTTGTATCTATTTCGCTTCACTTACGCTTATATGCAAATTACCGTTCATCCGCCGGAGACAAAAATATCGATTTTGAATTCCCAAATGCTTTTATTTTGGCTATCAAGATTTTAAAAGCTAAGCTTCAGACTTTTCATTCCAACGTTTTAATGCGGGAAAGCTAGGAGAAATGCTCCAACTGATTTAAGTCACGCAACACGCTTTAAGACCGCATAACTTGATCTTTCTGTTATCTTTTGTTCTTCTATTGTCTCCAAAACAATAATGATGTTTTACCAATTTCCACCTACAAATAATAGGACACATTTGATTGACAGAAAAATTTGCATTTACTAGCGACGCGTATCTACAGGCGCGATTCCGTAATGAACTAAGCAAATCCTGCCTCAGTCTTAGGTCACTGTGGCATTCAGAGGCTAAACTTCAGAAATACCTACAGGACAATGGGAGTGTGGGAGCGTGAATTGAAAACACACCATTTGCTTAATCACTGCACGACTAAGTGAGAAGTTGATTGACATTGCTTCGAGGTGGCTAGGTATTCTGAGGTTGCTCCCCTTACAAAATGAAGTTCGATTTAATTTGAAGTAATGGTCTCTTTGATGTGAAGCAAACACAAAAGGCCATTACTTAACAAGCAACTGACAGTGATAATATTATACCTTGTGCTCTCAGGATAGCTGATTTGCCTCTACCAGCTGCTCCACTGCCTCCAGAACCCTTTTGTGTCATTTTCTTGAACATTGGAGCATTTTTCAACATGTCCGGGAGAATCAAAAAGCGGATCTTGCTTCCTCGAATGAACACTTGTTCTAGTTGTGACACTCGGCCATCTCTTGCAGTTACCGTAGTGTTAGACATCTGGCAATTCATGTTGTCTTCAGCCTCAACAAGCTTTCCTCGGTACACTTCACCAGTCATAGTTTCTAGCGTGACAATATGTCCTTCAGCTTCGTGTAAAATTTTTATAGGAACCCCTATCGACATTTTTGAGAGCAATAAATGTTCTTGATTCTTCAAAAGAACCTCCTGGCAAAGAAAAAGCTTTTTAAAAGCTCGGATGGATCGGATGTTACAAGGTTTTCCAGCCAACCACCTCGCTTGTCGAAGGGACGATTTGAAACGTACCAACCGAAGAAAACTGAGTACGAATGTGCTTAGCGACCGAGCCTTCTTGTTAATTTCTCCACAATATTTTCCTCATCGATTTCATGTTCTAGAAAAAAGAGGAAAGAAGGAATGAGGTGAAATCGTACTTATATTTCAAAATTTTGTTCCTTTATGAGGTAATGGAAACCAATTTACTTTTGGTTAATCAAGCGATCACGATCACGGAGTGACAAGAAGGAACACGGCAAATGAAAATCGTAAAATATGACAATAATTTCAAAGACCTTCAAACGAAAGATAAGAGGCAAAAAAGTCAAGGTGGGTATTCGTAAAATTATATTGCACACATATCCATCGAGCACATAAAACATCGAGTATTGTTAATGCTGATGATGCCAAACGCGGAGTCGATCCCCCAGGTGATGATGACTCTTCGCACGAATGTCATAGTAGGGGTCCGGGGTGGATTGACGTCACGTTTGTTTGTAAACAACAAGTTCGAAACTGGATCAACCCGAATGGGTTCCCGCTCTGCCGGAAAAAACGACATCAATATTTGCTTGGTTGATTCTATTGTGTTGTTTTATCGTACATGACTTCCCAGAACAGTTAGAAATATATTTAAGACAGTTTCTCAATGAAATGTCTCGTCGACAGATCGAACTGCCCCATGTTCGACAGAGATCGGATTGGGACTGCGGCCTTGCGTGTTCTCTGATGGTCTTACAGAAACTCCTTGGCAATAAGTTCGACAACCTGGAATACGAGGAGATTTGTACGGCCAAAAACTTTGGAACTAGTGTTTGGACTATAGACATAGCCAGTATATTCACAGAGTATAATGCGGAGTACGTGTTCTATACATCGACACTAGGTGTGGATCCGAGCTATGGAGACAACTCATTTTACAAAGGAACGTTCAACATGGACGAAATGAGGGTCAATAGTTTGTTTAAAATGGCGCCGAATTTGGGGCTTAGAGTAGAAAAACGGTGAGTGTTGTAGGAATAATTACAACCGTAAGAGATTTGTTTAAGATGGTTTTAACGGGCTGATATAACAACCCTATTTTTTGGCGCGTGAATTTAATGATGCCTGTACGTGCGTGTCGTGTTGACTGTTCAGCTGATGTGTCTTGGTGGGTTCATTTTAAATACAGCATTTGTGTTCACCCGTGACATTTGACCGCTGGACATTTCAGTGTTTTTAAACAGCAATAGACGTTATTAGCTAAATTAAAAAGTAAAACTTTTAACGAGTGAATGCGGCAGGGCCAACGAATCTACCCTTTGTTGAGATGTACATTTCATTCTATTGTAATAAACAGTCTAAAGCTTTATTACAATATCTGGAATTTAAACACTTGTGTAGAAAATTCTGTTTCAATTCAGGAGGTAGACATAGTTTTGCTTAAGAAATTCACGCGGGACAAGGCTTTCCTTCCAGGGTAAAGCTTTGTTGAATGTTTTTGCTGAAAGACGTATCTATGAAGTGAAGGGGAGCATTCCAGGGTCAAAGAGGAGTACTTTAATAGCTAAGGTCATATTATATGGCCCTGCTATTAAGCACATGAACAGCACTGGTAATGAAGTAATAAGATGGGCTTTCTCGTGTTTAAGATACAGGTAGCTTTTATCAGTATACAATTGGAAATGTAATAATTTGCTTAGTCATTCAGTTTACGCACATGTATAAGAATAACACTGGTATCTGATTGCATGTTTTTATAGGTTGGGGGTGTGGTTGGGGGTGTGACATGGTAAGGGTTATAACAAGCAGTGACAGGTTGATGGAATCTTTCATGTCCAAACCCCTTAAGAGGTCAGAAGTATCATCCACCCTCCCAAAATATCAAAAAATACTCAATATTAACAATACATTTGATCATATTTTTATGTTAATTTGTGCAATATAAATGATAAGCTTTATTACATGGATATACTAGCATCAGTAAATACAGATACAAACAGTTGAAAGTCATGAAGATGATTTTTAGGACAGTTGGGCTATACTGTATTTCAGTATTCAGAGCTGTAGTTAAGTTTCAAAGCAGCCCATAGCAAAATATATTTAAGAATCACCCGTAATGTCACCTTTTAAGTTTTCCACTTTCATTACCCCTAACATCCAGGGAGCTCAGCAGTGTGTAACAGGTTTTACATTTTATGGCCTTAAATGACAGTTCCGAGCATTTATAGTTTTATTTCAACAAATGACTTTTTTTTCTTTCAGTTCTTATGTTTTAACTTTTTTCTCATATAAATGATTATCTGGTATTTTTCAGGAGAATTTCATTGGAGGAAATTATATCAAGGTTAATGAAGGGTTATGTTGCTATAGTCCTAGTCAACTCAAATGCGTTGATCTGCAACTGGTGTGAGATGTTTTCACCCAACAAACTGCGGATGCTCAATTGTGTGTGTCTATCAACTCAAAATGAGTACTGTGGACACTACATTGTGCTGTGTGGATTTGATGCAGACAAAAGATGTGTTTATTACAAGAATCCATCCTTTAATGATGATCTTTGTTGTGCAAAGTTTGATATGTTTGAGTTAGCAAGACACAGTTATGGAACTGATGATGACATCATATTTATTAAATTGAATGAACCTGAAATGAGCATGAAAGAGACTTTTATTGAAATCAGCAACAGGACATGACAGGGACAACATTTTGATACTGGAAGTATTGCCTTGTTATTTTATGGGTAATCTTAAATCTGAATTTTGGTTGTGACCTCCAACGTAACTGCATCGAGTTGTTAATGTACATTAATTCCTTGTCAATATTTGTAGCATATGTACATAATGGAAATTTATTGTTTAAAGCCAGTAATATAATGTGTTATTTAATGATAATGATAATACTAAATATATAATAATAATGTTAAATGAATAAATAAATTCATTAATAATGTTGATGATGAACACTAATTACTATTGTTGTAACTTGTTATTAAGTGGGAGCAGCAATGCGCATTTCACAGATGCATTACTGCTCCCACTTAATAACAAGTTACAACAATAGTAATTAGTTAATAAGAATTTTCAGGGATGTCCTGCCAGATGTATATGTGTGATGCCAGCCAAGCATAAATAGGTCAGTAGCAAGCAAGTTAGGACATCACTTTTATATTACAATTTTTGATTGATCAGTCACTAGGTGTGACACCATATTTTGGTTATCGCATTTGAAGTGAAAATAAAGGTGTAATTCATTATTTACAAATAAATTTGTGGAGTTTGTTACACTGTGATACACATCATGCATTGGTGCACGAACTAAGATGATTGTAAATGTTCCATAAAATTATTTTTCCAACAAATAAGATTATGGTGAAAGAAAATTAAGTTACGTTCAGGAATTTAAGAAACATCATGAAGACATGAACTTTGTTTGGAAGGGGCTGCTGATTAGTATATCGTTACCCTCCAAATAATTTGCAGTCTTTGGGATTTGGAAACTTTGAGATTGGCTTAGGATTAACCGTGAAAAAATAAAACCAAGAAAGAGAAGTAACCACAAACTCAAATTCCCAAATGGGAGGGGAAAATCCCCGCAAAAAATCTATGCTTACTGCATTGATAGAATGTCATTATTTTATGGTTGTTTATACCCTCCCTCTTAAGCTAGAGTTAGTCCCTACCATTCATATTCTTCGACTCTCTATAAGGTGGACACCTCCCTAAAACAGACAGGACCTAGAGTTGGTCCCATTTATTCTTCAGTCATCTTCTTTAACTCTCTATAAGGTGGATACCTCCCTAAAACAGATGCCTAGAGTTGGTCCCGTTCGTTCTTTCGTCATTTTCTTCACTCTTTATGAGGCAGACACTTCCCTAAAACGGACACCTAGAGTTGGTCCCTACTGTTCTTCAGTCATTTCCTTTGACTCTCTATAAGGTGAACACCTCCCTGAATGGTCCCCATCGTTCTTTAGTTATTTTCTTTGACTACAAGGCAAACACCTCCCTTAAATGGACACCTAGAGCTGGTCCCTGCTGTTCTTCAGCTATTTTCTTTGACTCTCTATAAGGTGAACACTTTCCAAATACTATAAGGTGGACACCTCCCCAAAATGGACACCTAGAGTTCGTCCCTGTTGTTCTTCAGTCATTTTCTTTAACTTTGTATGAGATGGACACCTCCCTAACACAGACACCTGAAGTTGGTCTCTGACATTTTTCAGTCATTTTCTTAACACTCTGAGATGGACACCTCTCTAAAATGGACACCAAGAGTTGGTCTCTGCCATTTTTCAGTCATTTTCGTAACACTCTGGGATGGACACCTCTCTAAAATGGACACCAAGAGTTGGTCTCTGCCATTTTTCAGTCATTTTCTTAACACTCTGGGATGGACACATCTCCAAAATGGACACCAAGAGTTGGTCTCTCCCATTTTTCAGCCATTTTCTTCGACTGTCTATAAGGTGACCACCTCCCTAAAATAGACACCAGGAGTTGGTTTCTGCCAATTTTCAGTTATTTTCGTTGACTATCTATAAGACAGAAACCTCTCTAAGATTGACACCTGTACTGGTCCCAACACTGTCTAATAGAGAACTGACTGTAATCAAAGCAATTGAAGGGTACAGTTTTCAAGACAGTTATTTAGTTTAGGACAGGATCTGGGAATTGGCAAAAACAAAATGGTTTCCAATAATGTTATCATATTGAGAGCTTATTTTAAGAGTTAACTGAAACTTGGATAAGGTATAGGCTATAGGATAAAAGCCTCAGTCTTTTAGGAGAAGATTCAGTAGCTACGGGCTAGCAGTGATATTAAAGCTTAGCTTATGTAGAATTGTATTATGTTATGATTCAAGGTTCTCTTATTTACAGAGGCCTTTATGTGTCACTGGAAGGTGTGAGAAAGGAATCAGGGTATGCAGCAGGTGATGGGAAGGAGAAAGAGAATCCTTGCACAGTACATATTTTTTGGTGACTTTCTTATTATTTCTGGGAGGCTCTGTGGAGGAGGGAGGATTAAGATGACCATCTAACACTAATGTTTGTCAATATGTTGCTTGGATTGGTGACTTGAGCATTTTTATTCACGAAAACCAGTAGTTACCATGTATCCTCTGTTAGCTTAAGTCGTAAATACTGAATGCCAAGAGATTACCAAACTCATAGATCATTCACAATCATAAATTCACCTCTATCACTCGTTCTGTTATAACATTTTTTCTCAGGCCTTAATGAACACTGAAGTTCTTCACATTATTTTCATTTATCTTTACTTCATGGTAATCTTGTCCTAAAGACCAAAAATGATCTTTACAGCAACTTTCTTTTAATTTACACAACACACTCCACAGATAGCAGAACTTGTTACAAGCATTACAACCATCAAAGGCAAAGCTCTAAAGCTTTGCATGAGGATTATCCAGTAAATCATATGCTGGAAGGGTGAGAAACTCTACAAACTCTTCAGAAAGAACCATCTTGTCCATGAGCTGGGATGCTTGCCCAAGGCGACCTTTTGAAGGTCCTCCGAGCTTATCAAGCTCTTCCGTGTGTATTGCTTTGTATAGTTCGGGAGTGACTGGGCGGCCATCCTCAAGTCGCACACTGTGCCTCAACCACTGCCACAGTTGAGCTCGGGAAATTTCTGCAGTGGCAGCATCTTCCATTAAATTGTGAATGGCCACTGCTCCAACACCCTTTAAAGGAAATGAAACAGTTATCAGCATCCTATAAATACAGTAGAAGCTCTCCTAAGGAACATTCTTGTAAGCGAACAGCTCTACTTATGGCCGCCTTTACAAAACCCTTTTTTTTGAACTCCCTTACCTTGTGAAGTGCCGATATGTGGTCTACAGAGGACAGCACACAGGGGTAAGAAAGTGACGCAAGATTAAAATATTTTCATAATAATATTGTTGTCTCGTTTAAGTTGTGATTTCCAGTGCACTTAAAAAATTGTTAAGTTCATAATTCATCTATTGTTATTATGGAAGTGTTAGGACCAGACAACATCAGAATAAGTCAAATTACCGAGAGCCAGCTGTTAAGATATTGCAACGCAACTTCAATATTGACTCTTAAGCCTTCTTCAGTGATCTTTCCACCTGGCACAGAGATAGCCAAGATTTCTTCAACCTTGATGTTCACCTCTTCACGCAAACGGTGCTTTTGATGGCAAGCATTTTGTAAACCCTGCAATTACAATAAACAACTATTAATTAAAATAAACAAGTACCATTAATTATGAAATGTACAGCAGGGAGATTCATTAAGTAAAGTGATGTAAAACATTATCGACAGTCAACCTGCACAAAATGGCCTCATGCCCAATTTAAGGACAATGTGGTTTCATTGTGCAGATAAAGTCACCTAGATTACTTAATCAGTGTCAGCTTTGTAGGTCTTTGTGGCAATGCACTACCACTTTTTTGTAGGTATAAAATTTTGCCCTGGCATCCCTATCATTTCCATTACTACTGTTTTATACTACGGTGATATAGCTGTTACAGGTCAAAATAAAATTCATGTTAAAAGTTTTTAAACTAGCAATTAAGGCTAGAAAACAAAGAAAATTGAGAATCGACCTAGCTGGTTAAAAAATTTAACGTGAATTTAATTATTTTCGACTTGCCACATAGCCATTGTGTAGAGGTTCAGGGTTGTCAGAAAGTTTTGAAGTAGATGGCTAAGTTGTCAAAGTAAGTGGCAAGTCCAGGGATGGCCTGGCACACGCTACTGGTGTACACGGCTAAGAATCTCACATCGTTTGGCTCTTATGAACTTATTAAAACTCAGATCGCATCGATATTTGGCAAGAAGTTAAAGTTTATAAACAGCTTTTCATTGAGTATTTTTTTCCTGGCTGTAAGACCAAAATAAAATTGAAATATGAAAAATATGGCTCAAAATGGGACCATTTTTTAACAGCTCGCGTAACATTTACAGTCTAACCACGCATATTGTGGGATTTCTCTGTTTCTGTTAATGGTACTTTGGAAAAATTTCTCCGAAGAGGTCAGTGACTTATGAGTACTAACTGTATTAAAAATTACTGAACATAATAGCAAAACAACAAAGTTTAGGGCGTTTTCAGAAAGATGTTCTGTCTACATACGATCTCTGTGCAGCGACGTCAATTTAAAAGATTGCTTTTCATTGACTTTCTGTTGTTGTTAAGAGAAGAAATAATAATTTTGGAATGCTCATAAGTTAAATTTTCCTTATAGACTAACTGTTAAGAATTGGGAAACCCATTTTTACGCTAAGATCAAATATGTAAGGTTAGACAGCATTTTTTTAACGTGAAAATTAAGAAACCCGTGTTGGACCGAAAATCGGATTCTAGAGTGTGCTTTGGCATAAAGATTTTGTGCCTAGAATGTGCCTAAGATGTGCATAAAGTGTGCATTTTAGTTTTGAAAAAAAACGTGCCTAAGCCGTTACCTAAGTTGTGCCCAAACTGTGCCTAATCTGTGCACAAGTTGTGCCAAAATATTGAGTCACTCGGAAAATCGTGTCCAGCCTATCGAGCTCCATAGCGAACGAAAAGGGCGCACGGCAATTATGTCAGTTTTGAGGTTTACGAAGTCTAGAAACACGGTCTGACGACCTTTTTATCCCCTAATAAGAAATAACATGACTCAGAATACGGTTAGAGACAGCAGGGAAAGCCCCGACAAACAGGAAAATGGAATCTTAAACAGGTTAGCGTATTTAAAGTAAGTACTCAGCATGCAATTACATTGTTGATATTATGCTAATTTCATCGATGTTAAAAAATTTCCGAGTAGGCTTCTTCTCCCCTTCTTAATGGAGCGTTTAGTTGGAACGAAATATTTGTTTTTTTCAGGAGGGCAGATTTGCATTCAAAAAAAGAATTTACTTGTGATATGACTTATAAAATGAAAACGAAAAAATTGATTGCACGCCGATGAGTTTTGATGAAATAAATGGTACGTCTCATCGATTATTATACGATCAAAGCTTAATTTGCTAACAGAGCCAGAAAACAAAAACAAACAAGCAGCTTGAATTATTTTACTACAGTGTAAACCCTACTTTTTTAGTTAGAGAAATACTTTTAAAAACCAGCCGCATTTTGTATTTAAAAATAACACACGTTGGCATGAAGGTTTCAAATTACCACTCTGTACTTTTCATGTTGTTATGCAAATTCAGGCCAGTTTTACCGCGATCGCAAAAAGTATTTTCTACGACTTTTATTGGCTATTTTTGTGCCTCACTTCTTTAGCTTTCTTTTTGTTATTATGGCTTTGACTTTCTTTCACGATTTCTTTTAGAAACGAAAGAAAGCGAGTCTATAAAATTGCATGGCAATCGAAAAGGTTCAGACCGGCATATATCGCGTGTGAATTTCCACTTTATCTTCGGAGTAAACACGGACTGTCGAAGAATACTTTAATTTTCCAGACTTTCGGCGCGGCTCAAAACTTACACTTCCTATACTTCTAACTGTATCGTGTTTGATCTGAATTATTTTTGTAATTCGTACCAAGTTTGTTCTTTTTTGCAAGTCGGGTTACAAAGATTTTCAAAAAAGTGCCCATGCGTTGAATATTTGTGCCCAAACCGTGCCTAAACCGTGCTAAAACTGTGCCCAAACTGTGCCTAAAGTGTGCCTTAGCAATATTTAAAACGTGCCTTAACTGTGCCTAAAGTGTGCCTAATCTGTGCCTTTGCATGTTTTTTTCCCGTGCTTTGGCACAAAAACCGTGCCTTTTCTTGAGCGCGAATCGTGCGTAAGGCACGGTGTTACGCTCGTGTACACCAGTAGCGTGCGCCAAGCCGGATATTATATTTAAAAAACGCCATCCGTAAAGAAATGCCAAGCAGAGTAGCCGGCCTTTTACTAACCAAGAAGGTGGTGATTTTTGCTGGCAGCCGGCTAATTTTGACAACCCTGGGTCCGGTTCCTGAAAGCCCGATTAGCACTAACCCAGGATTAAAATTTTGTTCCACTTTTTGTATTTATATGTATTGCTTAGAGTAACATTTTTATGTTATCATTACTGTATCTCAGAGTGCAGGCTGAACAGTATTTTGTAAGCTTGAGTTAAATGGTCCTAGACAAGAAAACCGTGCTTAAAATTTGGTTTAATCTTGAGTCAAACTTAACCTTCTTTCGAGGAACCGGACCCTGGAGATTAGCCTGGCTAGTATTCACAATGGCAAAAGATTCTGAATGCTACCATTTGAAGAGGTGGCTGTTATATGGAGGTATCAATAACTGTAATATAATATGGGCTTGGGCCCTGACAAAATTCTGTAGTTGTTTAGTAGAGGTAACTCAGTTGAGTGGAGATGGCTATCAGTGAGGATTTAAATATCCCAAAAACAAACTTCCTCATGCCGAATAGGCACAACAGCCATCTTCATGTACTTGTCATCCAAGCCATGTAAAGATCTAGGCATTCGCAGGGCAAAAACCGTATCTTCATTTCTCAGTAGCTTATAGCTCTGGCCCGACTGACTGAGCTTTTGTTGCCTTGCCATAGTGTATGTAAACATTCAAATAATAATTATTGCTTATTTATATACAGTTATGTTCCTTGCTCTTTGAGTGTTGACAAATCATGATCACAACATAACAAAAGTAAAGCGGGCACTCGGATCCGTCAATAATATTACCCATTTACTATTTGCCCATGGGTGAATGGTGAAAAAAGCTAGCGCACATTCAAAGCTGTAAGCATCACTTTCTATGGCCACTCCATTGTTTTCCACTTAGTCTCCAAAGGTTTTTGTTTTGATACCGAAAGAAAGTGCTATATGTAAAAGGTTTTGTAATCCACATTGAGATGGGGGAATCAATTCAGCAAAACGATTTTTTTGAAAGATAAGAATTTACAACAAATGATTTGTACATGCCATAGTGTGAGCAGATGACAGCACTCATGTTATTCCCCTGCTATCTGTGAGTAAAATTAAAAGTTGTTCTCTTTTGATTATGTTGTAAAACAAAATGGTAAACAGCTCAAAGTGTACTTTTGAGTTATAGTTGCACTTGGGAGGACTGCTAATCACTTAAGAAGCTAGAGTCACACTCAGCTATTGCCTTAAGTGACTCTTACACTATTATTCGTGCTTAGTAACCTCTCACCTGCAACTATAACTCAATAGTACATTTTGAGCCATTTATCATTTGTTAATTTCTTTCTCACCTTCATAAAAATGCCTTTCGCAAAAGGTACAAGATCAGGGTGAGCAACCCAAGTTCCGTCAAAGCCATCAGCTACTTCTCGTTCCTTGTCTTGGCGAACCTTTTCAAAGGCCACCTTATTAACATTCTCATCCTTTCGACTTGGGATGAAAGCAGCCATTCCACCCATTGCATGAGCACCATGTTGGTGACAAACTTGGACAAGGCGTTCAGTGTATGCTTTCATAAATGGCACAGTCATTGTTATCTGAAAAAAAATTGAGATATTACGGCTAAATGTAAACAAAAGGTAAAGGTTTCTTTTCTGAACTCTCGCTGAACCACAAATCATCTTTTACAGCTCAGTTTTCTTGTCAGGTATAAAATGAAAAACAACTAATCATGTGATCTCTTCAGATGAAAGTTTATCATTCATTTTCACTTGCTTTGGCATGATACTGTTGGTTTTTACCTTATAAATAACTGTACAGTAAAATATATAAAATTTGGAGTTTATATATCTAGCACAAAATTATGATAGTAATAGGACTGAGTGAGAGTCCAATTCAGTCTGTAATCATATGAGTGATAAGGGAGTCCAATTTCTTGAATCATGAGCATGATTACCAACCAAATTGGATGACAAAAACTTCTGGTAATCATAACTATAACAAAATTTGAGATATCTTAAACTTCTAAAACTAAAACACAGGATATTCAGAGAGTTTTTGCTAAAAGTGAAGAATATACTCATTCAAGTGCACACTTTCAATGGCACATACATTTGCTGTCCAATTACTTGGGCATGGTGCTGGGTGTAGAAGTTCAGGCTTGTCAGAAAGTTTTGAAGCAGATGCCTAAGTTGTCAAAGTAAGTGGCCAGTCCAGGGATATTTTATTTAAAAAATGCCATCTGTAAAGAAATGCGAAACAGAGTGGCCGGCTGATACTAACCAAGTGGGTGGCGATTTTTGCTGGCAGCCAGCTACTTTTTACCACTCTGTGGGTGTCCTATTACACTCTCCTATATGCCACTAGCACACCTCTTATATTGCACCTTACTTGCCCCCCAAAATTTTGCATAGCCTTTATTTTTCATTTCTCCTGGGTATTAACAGCCGTCCCAAGAGAACGTCAAGACAACGGTTATGCCAATTTTTTTTTTGGGGGGGGGGGGGGGGGACAAATAAGGTGTATTATGGGAGATGCGCAAGTGGCATATTGATACTGACATCAGGGCAACTGATGGCCAAATGTTTTACAGTTATGGTAGAGAACTAAAGCCATCCTTCTTACCATCTTACGGTCTGGCAAAACACAGTCAGGTCTCCTTGACAATCTCTTGATTGCAGAGAATATGTAATCCCATCTCCCTGCATTCATACCACAGCAGTGATCTTTTATCTCATAAAGCATTTCTTCCATGTTCACTGCAGCCAGCAAGGTTTCCACCATCACAGTTGCACGGATTGTTCCTAACATGCAACAACCAGGACAGGATCAATTTAACAAGAATGTGTGAAAATCATTTAACTCTGGTACCCTGTATTAAAGCGAAACTGTCTCAACAAAACAACCTGAAGAGTCATAACTCATTTGTGATTCCATCTCAAACTTATCTGATTCATTCTTTAAATTAAGCATGCCATTAAAAGCTGAATTTCACAAAAGAATCAAATGATAGTCATAATAATATTAGTTACACTGCGATTAGATGCACTGATAACTGACTTTCACCCTATAGTACCAACATTTGGGTCCTTATTAACAGCAGGGACTTACCTTGAGGTACTTTCATGTAATCTTGTGCAGCTCTAAAAACATCATTCCACAGTCTGGTTTCCAAGTGGGTCTCCATTTTGGGAAGGTAGTAGTATGGAGCAGAGCCATTTGCAACCCTTACATGGACATTATGAAAAAAGTAAAGACCAAAGTCTACCAGTGCTCCTGACATAGGTTCTCCATCACATAGGATGTGCTTCTCATCAAGATGCCAACCCCGTGTACGTACCAACAGACAGGCTGTCTTGTCCTTTAAACGGCGCTCTGATCCTACATTACAGATGAAATATATAATATTAAGCAAACAATCAATTACTAGGAATGCCTTAAAGATGTTTAACATCTCCAAGGTTTTTAATATTATCTATCAAAGCTCACTTTTAATGATATTTTAAAAACTGAATATTCATTTGACAATTATCATAGAGAATTTTGTAAGGATCAGATAGACTTTAACCCATTCGCTCCTGGAGATTTTGCCGAAAAACGCGTTTTGAAGCTAGTCGAGTGGTTTTCTGGTCACCGTCGTGCTATAAAGAGCTAAAACTTACCACAAACTGGTTTACAGGTCGAACACTTCGCGACCTTCTGATCCAGATGCAAAATATCAGCTTGCAAAGTTCGGGCATGCGCAGAAAGCAAAATTTCGAGATAGTTTTTGGGTTTAAAAGTGACACAGCAGTCTTGACTTTTACTTTTCGCTTTCTCTCCTCCCTTCTTTTTTCGCTTTTCTTGCCTCATTTTTTTTTCTCTTGCTGGGCATTTAGTAGGCTTGATTTTGGTGGGAAGAGTTTTTAGGAAAGCTTTTAGGATCTTAGGATTAGGTGAAAGGAAAGGTAGGTGGGTAATGGAACAAGATTTTCAGGGAGATTTTCAGGTCCTTGTCACGTGGTTTTTTGCTTCTTTCTCCGGTGTCCTTGACTGAATTGTGCTCATTCTGGTATGGTATGAAAGATCTCTTCACTCTGCACAAGTTAGCGAAGAAAGTTGTCCTTGACCGTTAAAACTGATGACGTCAAAATGGGTAGAAAGGACCTGGATCCGCACTGGCGGTTACGGGCGGTTCAGGGGCGAATGGGTTAAAGGTTAAGAAAATGGTTAGTAACTAAACACATCATCACCTGTCAGTTTTTACTTGTGACAACAATCCAATCTGACTTAAAAACATATTAGAGCAGGGACCAACAAAAGGTATCCATCTCATAGAGTTGACTTTTGAAAGAAAATCAACTGGTAGAAAAATGTTCTTTCACTGTGACCTTGTCCTCTAGCATGCGAACATAGAGGAATTTGTCAGAAGCTGCGTCATGGGGCTTTTTACAGGCACAGCTAGAATACTCTGCTTTATTCAAATATATTCACTTACCATTTGGATTAGTGAAACTTATTGTCTTCCTGTTGGCATCCAAGAGGTTCATTTGCCCTTCAATAATATTCTTCCAAGATGGAGTAAGTGAATCCTCAAAATCAGCCATATACATGTCAGCACCACTGTTTAAAGCATTAATGACCATTTTACGGTCAGTTGGCCCAGTGATCTCTACATGTCGCATCTGCAAATCATGAGGAACAGCGGCTACTTTCCAATTTTTCTCGTGGTGTGCTTCAGGATATTTGATTGGATTACCAGCATTGATTGCTTCTTGAATTTCCATGCGCTTCTTGAGCAACTTTTTTCGTTGGTAGTTGAAGCTCCGATGGAGATCAGCCAAAAACTCAAGGGCTTCATAGGACAAAATCTGAGTGTAATCTTGTTTGATTTCACCAGTGATTTCAATTCCTGTGAAAGATAAAATGAAAGTGTAAAATAAGTCATTATTTTTCAACTTATGGCCAGAATTTCAAACAACAGTTCTTCTAAGGTGACCGATAATAAAAACAAGTGACTTAAAGCCAATTTTTAACTTTAATAATAGGCACAAGTAAGGAACTCTTGGTATTAGTACCTGTAATACTGAGTACTTAGGAAACTATAAGAGTTTATGATGCTGCTTTTCCACCCATTTTAAGGAGGGAAAGGAAGGCTCTTCCTAGGGGGGTCTGGGGGCATGCACCCCCCCCCCCAGACATTTCATGAAATGAACATGCACTGCAATCTGGTGCATTTTGAGACACAATTTTGAGAAATGTTACAGTGTGTGCACTGACCTTGTCCCATCTGGATGATTTTTACCATATACTTACTTATATACTGTAACGATAACATTATTTTTTAGAGGGAAATATACTGTAATGATAACATTATTTTTTTGAGGGAAGCGGGGCATTTTGGGGGGCTAACTTCTACCCCTCAAATACCCTAGATAGAACCTTGGAAAGGACACACTTATCCAGGCTCTAGTCTGATCTAATCTGAAAGCAGATTAGATATCATTTGGTAATAACAATTGCGAATGAAAACAACAGTATTATTTGTCTGAAACCTGTTCATACCAATATCATCAGGAATCCATCTGTGCAAAACATTAGGGACCCACCTTTTGGGCACCTCATTCTTGATTGGCTTGTTTCTGCTCTTTCAGGCTGCGCTAAGAGGAAATCAAAGATTGCACACTCAAGTATTCATTTGTGAGATTAAAACAACAAAATATATTTATTATTATTCACATTATTATTATCATTATTATTGTAGGTAGGGGCAAATTTGATAAAAGATCAAAGCATTTTCCCTTTGGTGATCTTTTTATTACCTCTCACAACCATTTCTATTGATGATGTAAGGATATTGAGAAGAGAATTTAGAGCTTAGTCACTTTTAGGACATGAAAATAATTGGCTGAATATTCTTAAGTTTAGCCTTGGGGAAATATAGTTAATATTGTATCAGTTATAAAGCAAGTATATAAGCTTATTATAAAATAACTAAGATAGTACGCACATTCTGATTGGTTAAAAACCTATGGTTTATTATGCTGGTAAACTCATAGTAAACTTAAAGTTATTTTATAAAAGCAAGACCACACTTTCTCTGGGTTTACCGGCGTGATAACCCAATTGGGATGTTGGGAGAACACTCGAAAGGTTATAAATCACTCGCCTTCGGCTCGTTATGTACAAGCTTTTCTTGTGTTCTGGCAACACCTCGCATGGGTTATCATGCCGGTAAACCCACACAAAGTGTGGTCTATTGCTTAATTAGCTAAATGACATCAATCTGTTTGTTTTGAGAAAGGGGCTGGGCAATCAATACCACTCAAGTTTAATCCAAGGATTAGATGATGTGGCAAAAAAATAATGAAAAACAGGAAAACTTGAAATAATCATGACTAAGATTTTTTGCCCACCCAGGTCTCGGCAGACAGCAGGGTTGTGCAAACCCGTCAAGACAAAATGTTTTCTTGACTCTCTACGTGCATTTTTGCTCGTAAATGTAGATTCATTACATTGGGTACTTTAGAAAGGGTTCACAAGAGCCGTTATAATTGAATAAAACAGTAATGTAGTAAATAACTCATAAAAGAGCTGAAAGAATCTACTGCAAAGGACAAGACTGTTATTTTCCAACTAAATCTTGAATCAAAGTTCTCAAAATGCTGCAAAATGAGATTTCATGACACGTGACAGTTTGACACGTTGAATAACAAAGTTAAGACAAAATAACAGACAAAAAACGAGAAATTAAATTTTGTTCACATTATTTTCTATTCAGATATACTTACAGACTGATTCCACGCTCTACGAAGGAGAAAACTAGCGTTTAAACCCAGATTTAGGGCGACTTTTGGTTCTTTCTGCAAGAGTGACCAGCTTCGCCTCGTTCTTGTGCATTGGTGCAAAGTCCACCGGAAACCGCAGTGGGCGTGATGACGGGAATGACGGAGGTATGGCAATACCTGAGTAGGGGAGGGTTAGGGGGTGTAGTCGAGGAGTGTGCTTTAGAAATCAGGAAAGTGTATCTACATTTCTTCTTCAAAAGTTTCAGCTTGTAGACACTCGTTTTAATCCAGAAATCAACAAGTTATACTAATAAAAGGAGAAATTGAATCAAACACCACCCTTTGTCAATGGAAACCAAATAATCGTCACCTCTTCACGCAATTGCATCAGATCTCTCCCACTATGATCTTTATTCCTTTATTCACCAAATGGTCAATGGCTCAATAAAATTCTATTTCTTTAGAACTGATAAAAAACATCTTCGAATATGAAGTAACATAACTGTGCATGATTCTACAGAAGCCATAATTTTCATAATTTTCGTGATTTTTCATTTCGCAAGATTTGGCAGAGTTTTAACCGTGTACCTGAGGGGTATGCAAATGAGACTGTGTCCACTAGCCAATGAAAATGCTCGATATAACAACGACAAACCCCTTTCCACCAATGAAAACGTCGCCTTTATAGTCGTTCAAAGTCCACGGGCATAAATTTACAAAATTCTCTAAAAGTTCCTTAAATTTCTTGTCGTAGTATTTTTACTGCGAAGCTGTTGGTAGGACGGTTGTGCCAAAGCTGTAAGAGCCAAGTTTCCAAAATTTCTCGGCCTCCTATTCGATTCATAACCAAAATGTTTTCCAAACAACAGCGATACGAAGGAATCAAGAGGAATTATAGCCAAGCAGATGTAGAGAGGTTGAGAGGCTCGCTAAAAATCGAGCACACGCTAGCGAGGCGAGGCTCGATAAAACTTTGGAACTACTTGACTCGTGGTGGAAACTCTTACATCAACGCTTTGGGAGCGCTTACCGGTAAGACTGATTGCGATAAATGAGTTCTGATGGAGTATCCAGTAGTAATCTTATTTTGACACAGGGTCCGAGCTTTCCACGTGAAAGACACTCTTTTCCCTAATATGGTGAAAGCTACTACAAGGCGCGCGATTCGGTTGGGTTTTGCCGCGAATCTCAATAGCGTGCGTGAAATTGGCAATTTAAATGCCTTTGTTAATTTCTCACATATTTTTCGAATTCAGCGGATAAAATTTGAGAAGAAACGTATTTTAAGTCTTTAACGGCCACGTCAACCAAGCAAAAATCGAATGACGTGGAAAACTTCACGATCATGGATTGAACTTTGGACCCAGAGAGCGAAAAGGCAATTGTGACACCGAAAATTTCAATTTTTCCACTTGATTTCTTCAACGCAATATCTCTTATTTAAAAACTGAAACCTCCATCCAAAGTTCACCTTTGCTCAAAATTTTTAATTTAATTTTGTTATGACACAGCAAAAACGCGCCATATGACATAAGTGTGACTTGACTTGTTTCTTGCTTGTACTTAATTTTCACTAAATATATTTTGTTCTGAAATGTGGTCGTCTAGATAGATTTTTTTGGCGTAATGTATAATCTTGGGACTTGTTTGAAACAGGAGATAGAAAAATTCATAAATAAAAGCAAAAAAATAAATAAATAAATAAATGGGAAGATGATCCATTTGTTTTATTGACATTTTTTCCCTGCTTAACTTATGATAAAACAAAACTGTGATTTCAGGCGGCCAGGCAGTGCAGATGGCTAAAGCAGGTTTAAAAGCTATCTACCTTAGTGGCTGGCAAGTTGCTGGTGATAACAATTTAGCTGCACAGACCTATCCAGACCAGAGCTTGTACCCTGCTAACTCAGCACCAAAACTGGTGGAGCGCATCAACAATGCATTCATTAGGGCTGACCAGATTGCGCATATGGAAGGATCAGAGAGGCACATTGATTACTTTCTGCCTATTGTTGCTGATTGCGAAGCTGGATTTGGGGGACCACTGAATGCATTTGAATTAACAAAGTCTATGGTAATGAGGATTTCTTCAGTACTTAAATATTCATCTCACCACAGGGGGGGTACTCGGGATTTCAAGTGACGGGGATGATCAAAGGATTTTTTTGGGTTTGAAATTTTCGATTCTGGGATTTTTTTGGGTACGAAAATTTGGCAAGTATTTTTTTGGGTAGCGTAATTTGAGTAGGGATTTTTTGGGGGTATTAAAAAGAATCGGTAGTGCCCTGGCTGCGTAGTTCTGCGAGTAAAGTACAAACAAACATGTTTTGCTGTCGTTTAATAGTTAACTATGGTGTCGCTTTATATGGCACATGTTATACAATAGTCTGCATGTTTGGTCCAGAGATTTTTTTGGGTTTTGCTGGAAGCCCTAGGGATTTTTTTGGGTCTTGACTTTTGGCTCCATTCGATCATCCCCGTCACTTGAAATCCCGAGTACCCACCCCCCCCCTCCCCCCGGGCATCTCATCCTGAAAATATGCACCAAAAGATCTTGCCAATAATAAATTATGATTGTTTGTGACAAAATACATGAGGCCCTGGCTTTGTTCAAACGTTGAATAGTGCTACCCACTGGATAAGTAACCATCCAGCAGATAAGTATTGGGAAAACCAATAGTCCACTAAATTGAGATTTATCCAGTTAATAATGTTAGTCCACATCTTGAACAACTGGGCTGGCATGATGAGGTCCTCATGGTGAATCTTTAGAGTCAGCATTATTAATGTAGCTGGGCAGTAAAAACGTTCATCGTTTAGTGTGAAATGAAGATCTTTGTTGGGTTATCTAGTCATTAGGGTAGATCCTGAATAATGTGCACTTACTATTATTAAATAATGGATTGCATCTTGGATGTTTTAATCTAATGTAAACCAAAGACTTGCAAAGATAATAAAAAGCTACAAAGTATGATAAAAAAATATCAACTGCAACTTTAGAAACTTTGTTCCTGGAAAATGATCTCTCACAATGCATCAGAGATTCATCAATAAAACATAGAATGCAACTTTAGTGTTGTGTTGCTTTTCGAATAGTGTATTTACTATTTTATTTTTTCACTGAGAAATCAATAGCATAAGTAAAAGTTTCAATTTATACTGTAGCAAAAAAAGGTGAAAAGTTTTCAAGTGAAGGTTACTGTTTTAGAGTGGTTATCATTATTTAATTGTGAAAGGTTTGAACCCAGGAGTCATTTCAAAAGGTTGAGTTTGATCTTCCGGGTGAACGTAGTCCTGGATAGGACTGTTGTTGTTGACAGTGACTGACGTTTCGACAACCTGTGCGGTAGTCATCTTCAGAGTCAAAGTGAGTTGTATCACGTGAGTTGATGGTATTATACTCGGGTTATTGATCTGATTGGTCAATTATGTCGCAATGTTATTGGTCGTCTGTCAGTTAAGCCGTGATGTTATTGGCTATGAAGACTCGTAATCAGTGATTGGTGCGTTTCGATCCGTCTATTGTCGCAGTTAAACAGTCGTCTATTGTTAGTCAAATTGTTAGTTCTCCAGTTGTTCTCTCGTAGTTATTTAATTGATAATAATATAAAGTATCATTTAAGGTTTGATTTTACTTGTTAAGGGGTTCCCAAAAATGTCTCATGAAGTTTATCTTGTTAACAGATTGCAGCAGGAGCTTCAGCAGTGCACTTTGAAGACCAACTGGCATCAGAGAAGAAGTGTGGTCACATGGGTGGAAAGGTTCTGGTTCCCACTCAACAGTTCATTAAGGTCTTAAATGCTGCAAGACTTGCTGGCGATGTTTTGGACATTCCAATTGTTATTGTAGGACGCACAGATGCCAACTCTGCTGCACTTGTGACATCAGATGTAGACCCTTATGACAGACCATTCCTGACAGGGGAGAGAACTCCTGAAGGGTTCTTCCGTGCCAAGGCAGGGCTAGACCAAGCCATAGCTCGTGGTCTTGCCTATGCACCTTACTGTGATTTGCTGTGGTGTGAAACAAGCAAGCCAAACTTAGAAGAAGCTCGAAGATTTGCGGAGGCCATTCATGCTCGCTACCCTGGTAAATTATTGGCCTACAACTGTTCTCCCTCATTCAACTGGAAAGCTAATCTAAGCGATGCTGAGGTTGCTCTGTTTCAAAGAGAACTAGGCAAAATGGGTTATAAATTCCAGTTTGTCACTCTAGCTGGCTTTCACTCACTAAACCATGCCATGTTCAAGCTTGCACGAGATTACAGGGACAATGGCATGTCTGCCTACACGAAGATCCAAGAAGATGAGTTTGCGCAAGCCAAAAATGGTTTCACTGCTCACAAACATCAGAGAGAGGTGGGCACAGGCTATTTTGACCGGGTTTCCTTGGCAATCAGTGGTGGAACAAGCTCGACTACAGCACTGAAGGGGTCCACAGAAGAAGAGCAGTTTACACAAAAAACATCTTATGCAATTTCCAAACTGTAATATATTTAACTACATGGGGCACACAAGTATCTGTTGTTGCTATCTTCCTTTTGACTTTTTTAGAACATTTTTCTTTTGATGTTCACTTAACAACCTTTGTAATGGAGATAGTCTCCCTGAATATTGCCTTTGTGTCCACAAACTTTCACTTGCTGGATGGTGACGTTTGTTTCTCATTGTCTAGGCAATCAGATTTTACTTACTAAAATGCTGGAATATGTGGAAAGGACGGTTTACTTCCTTAAAAATTTTTTTTTGGAGGGGGCTTCAAGTTACTGTGTTCTGAATGAGGCATTCATTTAATATTTGATGTTCCTATTTTTCTCTGTGACGGAAAAGTACCTTTAACACAGACTTTTGTAATATTATTCCAAATAGTTTTTTTCTCTGAAAACAGCATCAGAGTTTTACTTCTAATTTCTGTAGAAAACCACAGCCACTGATACAGGTCAATAAAAACAAGGACTAATACAGTTGTTACTTTTATTATTGTTTTTGATGATTTGTCTAACATAGACAAGAGCGAAAAAAACGTTTTTTGGTGATTATTAGTTCAGCTAGCTCAGCTTTTCTATATTCACCTCCTTTTTTTGGATCATTATAAGTTTCCTGGAAACTGCCCACCTACCACTCCCCTAAGCCAACATTTTGCCCTAAGTGAGAAATAAGTGTTAATGTTCACTTAGGGGAGGGGTAGGTGGACACTTTCAGAGAAATATGTAATGATCTGTTAAGTTATCGTTAAGCTGAAACCATGACAAAAGAAAATTTATTTTAACCTGCTGTCATAATTTTTGATGATATCTCTAACATACGGGTAAAAACAAGTTTCTAGCTTTAGTGTTTATAATTAAATTTTTAAAATACCTAAAATCACAACTGTACTGAATTTGTGAATTTATTTAATATTAAGCAGAGGAAATTTATCACAGCACATGATTTCAAAGACGCATGCAAAAAGAAACTAACTGCTGCGGAGTGGGATGAAAGTGCTACCGGAAAACCCTGGCGTAGTGTGTGTGTTTTTGGATTGCAAGTTGCCTGATAACTAATAAAATAATATAATTTACATTATTAACAACGAAATCATTGGATAATGCAATATTAGACCTCTGGCTTAACCATCAAGGTATATTTAACAATATTCCTCGAGCCCAAATGGGCTCTGAGTTAATAGCCCATGAGGCAGAAGGCCGAATGGGGTATTTACTCAGAGCCCATTCGGGCTTGAGGAATAACACTGTTTTAGTAAAATCCAACTAGCTGGTCAAAAATATCGTCATATCATTTTAATCTCACTCTGCTGCTGGTCAATGCCTTTTTGCATGCAGTTACCCATTAATTTATTGAAATTTATAACAGGATCACATATTTTGTTGACAAAGAAAACTGAAGTGCTTGATATAATAGCAAAAAAGAGAACTCCATTAAAGTTGACCTGTCATTAAAATAGGAATAGTCTTTTTTGTCGAAAATTATACTAGGTTGGCTAGAGTAGTAAATAGTATTTTTGGCACTCGCAGTTGAGTAGATAAGGTGATTCTGTAGCCCTATTTTGCTATTTCAGGAATTGGTTAGAAAGCTTAATAAAAATGATCTATTCAAAGTTGTGGTATTTGAATTTGCGTACATGTATTCAGGCTGCCCAGACATGACGCCACCTGCTAGCTTTCGAAAGACAAAAAGCAAAAAAACATTATAACCCTTACTCTAGCAAACTTAATATGTTTTCCATTCTGTTTTCTGTAAATTAATTTCTTATAATGATTTATGCTGGGAATATTATGTCTTTGGAAAGAAATTTTTTTTTTTTCTCGAGGTGTTTATTTAAGCAGGGGGTGTCAACACGGTAAACCGCAACTAAATTATATAGTTTCACATATGAGTAACACAAACAACCAAATTCTAAAAAGTTATCAAGACTTATTTGCTAACAAAAAATCACCGTTTTTCCCAAAAAGTTTTGAAATGTTTGGCTTCTATCATCTGTATATGATGTGCCAAAAAAAGTAGCATCCATTTATACAATAGTTACGACAGCAAAAAGACATTGTTTTGCACTGGACAGTTTAAACCGCCTACACCCTTTAAGTACAGTGGATAAAAGTAATTCTTGCAAAGGAGGACTTTACTTTTTACCATAGATCTTTAAAAGAACACAATCTTATGTTGCTACTTCTTAGGTACTCTTTGAGTTGAGGACTTGTAAGTGTTGTTAATTCATGTTCCCTTTCCTCTGAGCAGGCAAACAAATCAGGTCCCTCCCCACACCCACCACATCCTATAATACTCTTATACCCAGGGTGCACCATGAGCTCACATGAAGAACATAAATTACTTCCTGTGAGATTGTTTTGCATAAAAACATTCTCAAAAGCTCGTTGTAGCCTATGAAACGCCATGTATTTTCCCATGCTACTAAGTCCAATAAAATGACCAGTAAACCTGAAACATAAGAAAAAATAAAGTAGATTCCTGTAAAATTCTTGTTTCCAAACACATGACAAGGTGACTATATCGGTGGCATTACAAAACAATTTCTTTTTTTTAGAATTTGAATGAAAACAGAGTTTACTTCCCAGCAAAGAGAAACACTTTTGTTCTTGACCACCTAAATATATAGCTGCCATGATGATGATATAGGAAAATATGAGAAGCGGAGACCCTCATTTAAAAATCTACCATTCTGAGGAAACACTCAAGACTCCAAGACAGCGCAAAACCCAGCAAAATAAGAAATTAAGACTTGCTACAACCATGTGCTGGGATCATTATTTTCTAAGACCCAACATTTTTAGCACTATTTTAATAATTAAAATAGTGCTAAAAAATACAATATTGAATAATTATTATTCAATATTGTATTTTTTATTTATTTTTATTTTTTTGTAATGAAACTAAGTAAAGGTATTTCAACACTATTAAATGTTCTAAATATTATTTCACTATTTCAGACAGGAATAAATCAATAATTTGAGATTATTTCACCTTATTTAGATTGTTTTCACAAACAGTAGATAATTACCCCCTGGGTTATTACCTTATTTCATATCTGGAGAATGTTTCCTTGGCGATTAGTGCATCCTTTTCAACAGATTTAAAGAAACTCTTTTGTTGTTTGTCAAACAGATCACATTTGTCTAGGTTACTTTCCACTGGTATTCTTGTCCAATTTATTCCATAATTTTTCATTAATGCAGCTAAAATATCACACACTTGTGGTATGACATGAATGTGTTGATGGCCATCTATATGCGTTGGTAAGGATCCTACCACGTCAATGAACCAGTCAAGTTGAGTCTGTATTTCCTGTTTAACCTGTATGGTCATGACTATTTAGTCAATAAGTTTTAAACAAAATAAACAAAAAAAGGGTGTTAACCAAGGGACATGCTTGGGGGTTAATCATTTCATAAATCTCTCTCAATAACTGTTAACCATGATTCTTTTTTAATTCAAACAAACATGAGGGAACACCCGACCTCAGTATTTTCTACAGTAAAAATACTTTTCACTTTCATGTGCTAAGAAGATGGGAACACATGAAAAAATCTCTTTGATTAAGGATATTACTGTTTTAATTAAAACTGATATATTGGATAATGCAATTCTAAAGTTCTTATTGGCTTAGCCATCATGGTATATGAGCCATTATACCATGCTCTCCTAATATGGTAACTGTACGTGTTTGCTCAAAATCAAAAACAAGCTGAAAATCATTTGTTTTTACGAATAAAGGGGGTAAAAATTCTCGATATTTTGGGGCCGTTTTTAACAAAACAATTATTATTCCGACCACACTTGTTGGACATGAAATGATTATAGCCAACTTGACGCAATGCATCTCATCGGCTATCTACCATCTCATATTAAATGCACACACGTGGAATAAATGTTGATTATACCATGATAAACATTATTACAAAAACTATAAAAATTCCACAATGGCAAATACCCAAACCCTGGGCATGGCTTAGACGACAAATACCCTAGTTATGGGACTCCCAGCTTGATAATGTTGGTCTACAAATTCCCAAAGGAGGGATGGGGGGTAGGGTGGGGGTGGGTGGATTGACTACGCCATAATTAATTTTCCAGTTTTCCTCTCAAATATGTATAGTATATAACATTAATCTCGTAATAATTCGAAGAGTGGGTCAATAAAGATTGTTGTTGTTGTTGTAACCCCTATCTATTTACTTCAAATTCCATTAGGAGAATTTATGTATGCCCATTTTTTGTCCTCTCTTTAATAAAGTAAATTAGGTAAAGTAAATTCGATTCTGATTAATTATATTATTAATCATTATCAAATACCTTTTACCTAACTCTATAGTCTCTGTTAAGTTTAAATATGTAATGGTACATGTTGTATTAAAAGAAATCAACTAGAAAAGATTTTTGGTTTAAAAATAAGAGTAACATAATTATATTAAAATTTACCTCATCCAAGTCTATTTCTCCATTCTTTAAAGCTTCCCTGAAGCCAAACTTTCCCCTCAAGAAACCTTCTTCGGAAGTAAGACTTTTGTAATGCGTTTTCATCGGGCGACCCTCTGTAAGATTCAGGTGAAGTCCAAGAGGGATCCCACATTTCTTAGACAACTGTATGGCTTCTAAGGCGCTTTCAGCGTTCACGAGCAAAGAAGCACTTGAAACTATCCCGTCTTGAAATGATTTTACTATTCCCCGGTTTCTTTGCTCACAATATCCAAAGTCGTCGGCGTTTACTATCAGCAAGCGCAAGCTACCATTGTCGTCTGCCATTTTGAATTTTAATTAGCAACGAGGGAAAAAAAACTGGTCAGCAAAATTTCACAAAGAAGCTACTGCTTCATAAAACTGACCGTAAAGTGACATCGTAGATTAGTTCCAGGTTCCTGACCGGGATTCAACATGGCTGACTGTGACAGCACAGATATCAAGGACGAGAAAGGTACAGAAGTATTGAGTATTTATTTGTATACTGAATCTAAAAAAAAAAATGAAGTTTTTTTCTATACCTTTTTCTTTATTTCTAACCACTTAGGAGTGAAATAAGGAAAATGTAAATTAGACGATTTATAGCTTACAATATATTAAGTGCTAAAGAAGGAATGATAGTATTCAGACACTGTTGTAATGGAATCATGACAACCGAGAAAGCAGAACATCACTTACAGACTGTTGAGTTTTGCAATGGAAGATTTTATATTTAAACACACCCCAATAATAATATTGTTGAACTTGGGACACCTGTAGCTGATGTCGAGTCAAACATAGTCATCTTGCATAGCTATTAAGTAGGATCATAAGCTGGGGGGGGGGGGTACTCAACAAAATTTTGCAGAGGTAGGTTCTGCCAGAGGTCCAACCCCTTACCTTTTATGTACCAAACGGACCTCTTTCACTTACTTATTAAGACACTGCATATCTTTTAACTGCTGTTAATGCACCATCTTTTAAATATAAATAAATCACTAAACTAAAAAGTTCTTTTTTTCGTGTGCCGGTTAGCCCTTTTAGGTCCTTTCACAGACAGCAATGACAGATTTCCCCTCCTTTTCATTTTCTCCAAATAGTGAAACCCCATACCCTTTCATATTCCTGAAGCCTGAAAAAGGTACCCCTTTCTGGCGGAGCCTCCCAGTATGGGCCATAATGTGGAGTACCCTCTGGGGATCATGAGTGCCTAGGGAGTGAGCAGGGTGGGGATTACACTGTGAATTAGTTGGGTGGAAGGTGCACCGGTGGGGCATAAAACCCTCAGTGGCAGATCCAGGAGAGGGGCCTGGGAGCCTGTTTTTCTTGTGCTTAATATAATGTGATACTAAGTGATTCATGTGGTTTTGCAGCTCTTACAGAAAAGAAGACAAAGGCATTGGTGTCACTAAGTGTCGGACTTATTTTTATCTTTATTGGCCTTCCCTTATGGTGGAACACAACCAAAGTTTACAGGGCTCCCCTTCCTTATGATGAAATAGAACAGTTAAACCAGTTTAAGGTATGATTACTTTTAATGTTAAGTAATTTATAGCTTGACATCAATCAATTTTATTACCATCAAATTGCTATAAAATTTATTGCATTTAACAATTACTAAAATTGGATTTCTTTTAGGTTAAGTATACAGTTAACCTTAATGTAGTACTTCTTGGATCTCAAGATCCTTCTATTTTGAAACAAGAGATTGAGCTGGAGCTCAAAAAAGAAACTGGTAAGATTGTCCAAGATTTGGCGGGACGTATGGAATAGTAAGGGTCAGTTTAGTTGGTCTTATTGTACAGCTTGCTTGTGTTCTTTCCTTTCTGATTTAAACGATGGAAATATTATTCAGTTTGATTGGTTCTCAGGATTCTTTGGCACCCCTTGTGGGATAGTGTGGGGGGTCCATGGTTTGGTTCCATGGTATGGGTGAGAGCAGTGTTCCAGATAAGAGATGGGTCTTTGGTCAATGACCTGACAAAGACGGCTTCCTCACCTGATGATGACATATAAGTGTTAAGTTAAATATAGCAAAAAAATTTAGCACACGGTCTTAGTGAACCCTCAGATGGTCTACATGACCCCCTGCTCGAAAGAATTAACTGGAACGCTGTGAGAGACAGAAAAAGAGGTAAATTTAAATCAAAGAATGTTCCTCACTTGTTGAGCAAAATTTCTTTTTAAAGGGTACCGTGCGATAGAATAGCAATGCTTGACCCCAGACCCTCAGCTTTCTGGGTACCTGTGGACATCAATATTCATTGCATGTTTGAGAGGCTCACCCCACCTTCCAGGCCTACAATCACAAGATCTCCATGGCTCCACATCATTGTGTTTATTATTCAAAAACAGTATTTTTTTTGTTGTTACGTGTCCAATTTCTTTTCTTTTTTACAACTGGTCAGATATATCTGCCATAACACCAGACTACAGACTGACAGTAGAAGTGAAGAACATAAAAGAAGCTGCTGTAATTACAAAACTGACATCCAGCCCTTTGGAAGGTAAACCTGTAAAGGAAAATAATTGCAATATATTTTATTTATAAATAATTCATGGTAGGTGAATTCCTCTGAATTATGAATGAGTGAACAACTTAATTGAAACTAAAACTAATTTTTAATCAACAGATCTGGATGATTATTTTCAAATCAGCTTTGTAAACAAGGAAAGCAAGAATTACTCTTTCTTTGTGCTTCCTCATGGAACTCCTGAGCCAAATGGCATTGATGCATATGTTGGAAAACATCTCCACTGTATCTTGTACAACAACAAAGGTAGGAATAATCTGAGTTTGGGTTTTATGCTACGTTTCATGCACTTGTGCATCTTTCTCTTGCCAACAAGATAGCCTGCTTGCAAGTTAAAAGTTAAGCTGTAGTGATGTTTAAGTGTTTTTTGTTGATGTTCCCTAGATTCCAAGAAGCTTGCTGCAGTGATTGCAAACATTATCAGGAAAGGTTTTGTTAATGAAGAAGAAGTCAATGGAGCATTTAGTTTAGTTTCAAAAAGGGAATACACAAAGGTGAACAGTGAGAAACACTAAACACTAAGTTACGATTTAGTATTAAAAATGATTGGATTAAGTACATGGTCTAAGCTACTGACACTTTTTTTCTCTCTAGGACACTGTGGAAAGTATGAGAGCTCAGAAGTCAACAACTGGTTAGTTTGTCACCCCAGCAATTCCTTGTGTATAGCATAGTTAAACAAGTGTATAGACTTGAATCTCATTCAAAAAGCAAGTTGGGGGGAATTTTTACTAACAAATTACACATGCTTGCATCTTCACTTTATCTCACTGGCAAAATTTAATCAAGTAAACATATTAAGTTTTTAATTAGGAATTACTATTTTTTCAAGGTTTTCAGGTGTCTTTTACACTGTTGAATTCTGATCCAGATTTAGTTCTGGCAGAGTGGGATATAGAGACTGCTGTTCAAAGTAAGTGACTGTCAGTTTCTGTAAGTGCAAAACAATGTGAGTTTATAAGAGTTGTGTCAAGGTAGCCAAAGTTTTTGGTGTGGTAAAGTGAGGTCAGCAGGTAGGAATTTTTGGGTGAGGATGTGCTGCTGGGACCCCTGAACCCTTAGCCTATACATAACCTTACTTAGTTCAAAGTGAATTTTGCCACCCTGTTAAATTCCCTGTCTACTTCTTGTTTTTAAAGCTGGTTCCTTGAAATCTTAGTTACAGCCCTGATTAAACCAAAGATAAATAAATTTGAACCACAACAGCTATACCAGTTTTTCCTAGTCTAGACTAATACCTTCAACCAATCAATCAGTTTCCTGGAAAATGATACCCCATTCTAGAGCCAAACTCTCTGATTTCCCCCACCACCTGAATGAGTCCCATTCTCTGAATAAGCAATTTTCCCTGAATGAATTGCTCAATGCATGTACATTCAAAATGCCAGTAAGCATTTTAAGGCAAAGTTTGTTATAGGGTGGTTAGATACTCCCACCTTTCAAGTTGCTCATGACGTACCGTAAATGATCGATTAAGCGCTGCTACTGGAATAAGTGCCCCACCTTCACCAAAATAAGTTAATAAGGGCCGCTGAGTCCAGTGGCACTGACTTGGATGTTTATGTTACAGATCAAATTGGATTTCAGGCTAAAAATTTTTCAACCTTGGTTTACTCTCAATTTCCTTTGTCTGCAATGGCTAGGAGACAAAAGAAATTGAGAATTAACCTGAGGTTAAATCAAAATTAACCTGAAATCAAATTTGATTTGTAACATTTACAAATAAACGCCACACCTTTGTTACAGCACTTGATATAAAGAGATATCAAAACTATATTGCTTGACAAATAAGACCATGACCAACTCGTTAGTTCTAAGGTTTTAGTGTAAGGAAACTCTTGAAATTGGGTTCATAATTATAATGGTTGAAGGTGTAAATATTTGTCCTTTTTCATGCACAACTCTGAGTTCTCTCTATATTCCCCTCAGTGTTTTACCTCTAGTTGAAATAAGCACTTGCTTTTGATTATAAGTGTCACTCCTTTAATAGAGAAAATGAAATAAGCACTGCGGCGCTCAATTGAATCATCATTTTATGGTTTTTGTTTCTTTTGTAGAATATTTAGATCCCTTCTTGCTGAAGTTTCCTCACTTGGATATTAGTGTTGACTCCCAGGTAAGGTGGCCTAAATGTTTGTATTGTAATACGATATCTTTGCACGGAATTTAATTTATTCTAGAAAGGATGCCCTATAGAAAAAATTTTATCATGCATCAAATGCAAATAGGGACTGGTGTGGGCCTTCAGTTCACTTAAATTTACAACTTGTGTTTTTTGAGTTTCAGAACTGCTTAGAATTTGATAATGATCTTGCTCATTGCACTGATTGACTTAACAGTACTTTGATCTTACAACAGGTCCTCCATTATAGTAGCATTCAAATCAATCCAAGAAAAGATGGAGAATCTTTTTATCTTCCCTATGATGACTTACCTCACATGATAAATCCAATTGAGGCAAAGCTAGGTAAATTATATGTCTTGAATATTAGTTATAGGTGAAGCATTGAAACAAGAATTCACACTCCATCATCATATTTCCTTATATGAAAGAATGTTAACATAGTATCTCTTATACACATAAAGAGAAAAATTTGACCTTTTTGGATCTGATAATGGTTTGACTGAAGAGTTTATAATAGTCATGCAACATAATCATTCTGATAGTCAAATTGATTCAAAAGTAATTTAATCAATAATTTAATCAATCAATATTTTTTTATCAATCAGTCATTCAATCAGTCAACCAATCATCAGCAATAATTAATGACATTTAAATACAATGTTAATCAATCAGTCAGTCAATCAGTCAATCAACCAATCCTCAATAATTTAACCAGGTAACCAACTGTCCATTATAATATGCATATGCTAGTTAACGCATTTGAATGGTGAAAAAAAAGAAGAGTCTTCTTGCAACCTATGGAATGGTCCCTCTACACAAGGAACATGAAATAGGAGAGACTGTAGTCAATTGAAAATATTATTTTGTTCATTTACAGGCTCACATATTTCATTGTATCCAAGCTTGAATTTTGTTGTTTACGTGCCTTCTCAGAGCCAAACACCTCTTTATATGAGAACCAAGGATGGTGAGAGATTAATATACATAGCTGTTAAATAGTTAAAAACAAAACATAAAACTTAAGATCAGTTTATCCAGCTTTTCTTACTCTAGGGCCATTCATATGGGGAAAGTATAAAGACATGCCTTTCTTGCACAAAGACATTTTTGTTTGAATTATTACAAAAGTGTCTTATTTTTAGTCTTATACACAGCCCTGCTGTTGACATCAGAGAACATCCCCTAGTGGTTTCAAAATCCAACTGAAGCAGTTCTCTGTTCAGCTCAGCAGCTGTACCAGTCCTATAGTTACAGAATCCCACCTACGTCCACTGTCAGCTTCCTGCCTGACGGTTCCTAGAAGATGAACGTACATGGAACCCTTGTCAATGCCATGCCTTTCGATTCCCTGACACTTCTTAGTCTTTCTGAGCCAGTTTTTCTTTCACCCCATTTTAACCTCCGATCTCTTTTCTTTTTATATCTCTCAAGGCCAGCAAAGCAGTAGCAATGCATTCTTGAGTCCACAATGGGGTGGAATCATGATTTGCAATCTTCAACAGACTGCACCAACGAACAGTACCAGACCACAGTGGATAGAGGTTGATATGAAACCCGTTATGAACACATTCCTGGCTCAACTGAAGTTGTTACTGGGAGTTAAGCCTGTGGTGAGGATTCAACTTTTTCCATTCTCACAGACTTTTATGCTTTTTTACAGCTTACACCCCAAAAACTAGTCTCCCACATGGCCATTTTTGTCTGCTCATGCATTGTCCTCCATGATGATTGTCTTGTCTTGTTCTTTTGTTCCCTAAACCTTAATTCCCTTGTTCCTTATTCCTCTGTTATCTTGTTCCTTTGTTTCCTTCTTCCCTTGTTTCTTTGTTGTTTTGTTCCCTTGTTCCTCTCGTTCCCCTTTCTCTTTGTTCCCTTCTTGTTATAACTTGTCATGTCTCGTCTTGTAATGTCTTCTCATGTCTTGTAATTTCTTGTTTTGTAATATCTTATTTATCTTGTCTTGTAATGTCTTGTCTCATCTTGTATTTCTTGTCTTGTAATGCCTTGCCTTGTAATGTCTTGTCTTGTAATGTCATGTCTTGTCTTGTATTGTCATGACATAACTTGTCATGTCTTGTCTTGTTTTGTAAGATCTTGTCTCTTAGTTCTTGCCTTGTAATGTCTTGTCTTGTAATGCCTTGCCTTGTAATATCTTGTCTTGTAATGTCATGTCTTGTCTTGTATTGTCATGACATAACTTGTCATGTCTTGTCTTGTTTTGTAAGGTCTTGTCTCTTAGTTCTTGCCTTGTAATGTCTTGTCTTTTCTTGACTTGTCATGTCATGTCATGGCATGTCTTGTCTGTAATGTTTTTGTCCTGTCTTGTAATGTCTTGTCTTGGAGCATTGCGATAAGGAAAATCGCCTACAAGAGGAGGCTTCTTAAAAAGCAATAAGTTTGATTATAGTCTTTTTATATTAGAGTTTTAGGTCTCCTATCAGTCTAAATAGACGTGTCTTTGAAACAGATTAAAAATGCGACTGAATGTTCTCTTCTGTTTTCTAGCTTAAGATAATCCAACCTATGTCATTTTGATTCATGCCCGTAATAGGTTATTCATTTCCAAAAACGATTTATGTTGTCTCTTTTTCCAATTTTTTTATTGCGTTTTGCTCTAAATGAATACAATAAATTTTATTGTAATCATTATTTCCTTTTTTAAAGAAACTTGTAGATGGCGTTGAAGCAAGATTCCCAAAAGATGTTGGAATAACACAGTGGGTAATGACCATTAATGTAGTTGTTTCTTTGTTAACCCTTCAAGTCCCAAGAGTGACCACCATAAATTTTCTCCTAACAATCTCCATTCTTTGTCAAAAAATAAGGTTATGAGAATTAATAAAATGATCAGCAAAGGGAAAATTCTTTGATCTTTTGTTAAATTCTCTCAGTTAATTTTGTAAGAAAATGTATGGATATCAGTTTGGAGAATTTGTATGTGGACAATTAAGCGTAGACTGTAAGCAGTCTCTTCTTTGTCGGATTTAGCAAGGGAATTGCTTGCGCGCGCCAGTGTCGAAGCCACGAGACCGGGGAAACGAGGGTCGCAGCTTCTCCTGTCTTGCGCCTTCCGTCTCGCGCATGGTCATTTTTGTGTCTCACGCAGATGGACTGAGAAAAAAAATTACTTCTCGTAGTCTAAACTTAGCCTCTAGTTATGGTTAAGGCTTTACTGTACTCACAGGAACAGGAGTCGGTGATGAGACAGAAAACAATGGAATATCTTGCCACCTCCACCATCACGCTAACATCCCTCGCCCAGCTGTTGGGAAAAATCAGTAACATGGTGATTAATGATCACATTCAACAGCAAATTCAACAGGCGCTTCATGCAGTCCATCAGGTGTGACTTATATCCTATCATATTCACCTGAATGTTTTGGATCATTATACGTTTCTGGGAATTTGCCCACCTACCTCTCCCCTGAGTCAACATTTTGCCCTAAGCGAGAAGTAAGTGTTAATGTTAGCTTCCAGGTAAGTTGGCAATTTCCCAGAAACGTATAATGATTTTACTGTAGAATTTTATAACGCAAAGGTTTTATGTACCCTCGTATCGGAAAATTTGGTGAAACTTCTCCTTTGGGATACCCCTATTCAGAGGACACTTTAATTCAAGGGACCAAAATTTTGTTCACGAATAAAGGGAAATTAATTCTATTTGTATTAGTGAGTACTGTTGAAGGGATTCCTCGATTTAGGGGAGACATGTGCTGATCCTGAGTTAGTCCCCTGAACGAAGGCTCGTCTGTGTAATCTTTGTATCAGCCACCTCTATTGAATGGACACCCCTATTAGGGGAACACTTTTTCTGGTCTTTAGTATATCCCCTAAATAGACGCCCCTCTCATGGGGAAAATCCAAGCGCGCAAGTCAAATTTTTCAAAACTCTTTGCAAAAAGTTTTCTTTAACTGGCTACGAAAATGTAACTTTGTAGTCTTCTTTTTTGTTCTTATTTACTTTTTCCGCCACTTGATTCATTGCATCCTCCAAATCTCTTGCTCCCTGCCAAGAAAAGAAACCCTCGCCTGCTTGCGAGGGAGATTGGGGTTTTATACTCAGTCCTAATGAGTGTGAACATTTATCTTCACCTTTTGTGGTAGGTTTTTGCTTGTTGAGGAACCCTCAACAACCAAAAACCAATCAGCAAATGACTGAAAAGACATTGAACAATACCCACATCACACCATGCACAGCAGCTAAAGGTGATGTTACACCGGACGATTCGACGGAACGATTTTTAGCGCAACACATCGTTGCAATGTTGGAACAATGTTGTAAGCATTCGAAACAATGTCGCAACAATAGTGCAAAGCTGTGTTGCGCTAAAAATGGTCGTTGCGAATCGTCTCGTGTAACATCACCTTAACGTTCAAGAGTTTCCGCTACACCAAGAAACACCCGGGGAGACACCCCCACATCGTAAAATCCCTTGTTAAGCCCTGGACTTATATAAGTTCATAAGGGGTTTTGGGTGGGCTTATATACAGGGGGCGTATATCCGGTGGTGGGGGCGGGGGCTTTAACCTCTTTTATCTTTATCTTCATTTTTCTAAATTCAAATATAACTGAACGTTTTCTTTACAAACGCTTTTTTTTGTAGTCTGTAACAGCCCTTGAGCACGGAAATCTGACCGTAGCCGTTCTAACTGCCAAGACAGCCATCAAATCTTCGGGTCAGTATAAATCTTTTTTTTCCTTTTTTTTGTACGAAGTAGCGCCGAACGCCCAAACTTCTGCCCTCGCTCCATTTATGTGTGTTCTTTTACAAACTACCAGAAGTAGATATTACTGGTTACAGGAATGCCATCTCGGGTGTTATCCATATATCATCTGTTAGTGACAACGTTGTTCTTCACTTTCTTTTAAGATATGGTAAGCTCCATCCATTCTAGCTTGCGTAGCAAGCTCTTCCTTTTGGTTTCGGATCAAAGAAAGACCGAGGAATGGGATTTTCGGTTTTGGCCGCGCGATAAATGAACCGAGAGCCATTTTTCGCGCGGTTTTTGGCTCTCGTTCCTCGTTCTTTGCTCCTAAACCGCACGGAAACGCTTGCTACGCAGGCTACATCCATTCCCATATGATAAGATTCTAGTTAAATGATAAGCGATACAATGACGTTACATTCTCACTTGTAATCAACTCAGTGTCCTTCTTTCTTTCAGAGGAAGCATTTTTTGACCCATCAATACTTGAGCTTTTGTATTTCCCTGACGATCAAAAGTAAGCAGTTCTATTTTTAAGTCTTGTTTTATTATTGTTACCAATGATTAGAGTGATTTTACTTGACCCATGAAGCAGGTACTAACAACTAGAGCAAAGCTCCAAGTAAACAAAAGTAGACTGTGGAATTAGTGTATAACAGTGCGTAACTACCACCTATTTCACGGGTTAAGTACAATCCCTGACTCTAACGGTAATATGGTTTATTTCTTTTTCCTCGCAGGTACGCCGTCTACATTCCTCTCTTTCTCCCCATCAGCCTTCCAGTTTTGTTGTCTCTTAGACAAGCAATAATTTGGTACAGAGGAAAAGACGATGAAGACAGAAAGGACGAGAAAAAAGACAAGCAAGAATAACTTATTGAAGATGTCATGGTCGTCTCCGGATAAAACAAGATGAATTTGATATCTGAAAGCCGCTTGTTTTTGCCCATATCGTGTGACCATTTTGTTTTCTCGATCAAGAAACTTTGCTTCGCATTGTCCCTGACGGATAGTAAAGAACCCTTTGGACGAGCTTGCACGGGTACTTGCGACAAACTGCTAGGATAACCGTGAGATGGACTATTTTCCCACCTACAAGGGGTAGCAATTCTCGTAATAAGTCCCGTTAGTTTTGGGATCGTTTGTGCGTTTTATGGTGACCATGCAATTTCCGTACGCGATGCGTTGGACAAGATGAGTCGTGAAAACCAGATAAACCAGTCATGTAAGGCTACGTTGACACTGTGCGGGATAGCTTTTGCACCAGAACGAAAATTATACCGGATAGGGCTTCTGTTCACACACGAGAACGGTAATTTCGGCGCGATTTCTGTAACGGAGCGAAGCTGCACCGCGTCGATCTTGAGAGTGAAGGATCGCCTTTCGGATAAGTGGTGTTTATACTTTACCGGATAGATTTCTTGTCGGCATAAAAGGCTATCCGGTTTTGAGTGAACGTAGTCTAAATCTCTGTTGATGAGACACTCGATTTGAGCCACTAATCCATCACGTCATGGTGTCCTTACTGCAACCAAAGAAGGGAGAACAATGAGGTATTAAGCTGATACGATTCCATTCTATTACAGTTTAAGTGTCGGCCTGTTCGCGAATAGACCTACAGTTCAAGCTTGGTCAATGGCGCATATTCATATTATATGCCATTTCCGAGCTGCCGCAAGCCTCTGTTTCAAAGTGAGGCTAAGTGCGACGCTGTTGATATGAAAAATGATTTTTTTTATTCTCATGCAACTTAAACAAAACTCATTTTCACAAGAAAGTTGTTGTACTTAGCCTCGTTTTGCAGAATGATAGTTTTTGGAACTCGGAAATGGACAATAAACTTTTTTACGAGAATATTGATGCAGAGAATGGGAAAAACTAAAGAACATTCTAAGATGAAGGAGATAGCTCAGGGTGAAGTTTAGTTGAAAACAGTGTATTCTAGCCGTTTAAACATGAGCAATATAGAGAAATTGTCACAACCAGTGCATTAAATGTTTCCTGAACATTAGTATATGCTGTGTTGTTTGTCGTTTAACTTAACCTAATTTCTGATCACGTATACACCACCCCCCAATGAAAAACATTCATTTGCGGCTCTGTCTCAGGGCAAGCTCTTGCTCAGGGATGTTACAAAACGGTGAATAGGGAAAAGGAAAATGAAAAATGGGAACAAAATGTCAGTAACCCTGTCAGTTTTTTCCTTGACCATTACCGTTTCGTTTCCATTTTTTCATTTTCCCGTTCCCCGTTTGCGTTTTAATAATATTATTGGCTCAGGCTCATCTCAAAATTGGACGGTGTTGAAAAGTAAACAAAACAAAAGAAACTAACAAACAAGTAAATAAAATGCAAAACAAACGACAAGAGAAACAAAGAGGGTTGCTCTTTTCTTGACTTATTACAGTGTAAGAACGATGAGGCCTGGGATCAAAAGTGGCCTACTTTCAAAGCGAGGCTAAGTGTAAAACGTTCTTGTGATAATGAGTTTCCTTTGAATGAGAATAAAATATCATTTTCTCATCAATGACTTCGCACCCAGGAAGGGTTCATAATTTATGTAGATGGGGCTGTGGTGATTTTAGCATTTTTCAGGTTCAAATTTTAGTAGGTATCACCCTATTATTTGGTGTGTTTTTTCGTGCCCTCGCTCATCTATAGGCAAAATACATGACCTCTCTCCGCCTCTCATTATTTCTACACCTAAATTAGTAGTTTGACACAATTTCTTATCCATAAGGATTGTTTTGAACTGTTTTTGTCTGCTCATTTTCTATTTTTTCAAAATTCTCAACTTGAATCTGGCGTTTGCCGTTTGCCGTATACGAGACGCTTAAACTCCCTAATGCCTCCTTTTTTGTCATTTTGGCAGAAATACTCGATAGCCCCCGCTCCCTTAAACCTAACCAGAAAAACTCATGGCCCTCCCAAAAAAACACCATAGCCCCCTCTACATAAATTATGAATTCTCCCTTAGCCTTGCATTCAAATAGAGGCTTGGGGAAACTCGGAAATGCACTATTCAAGATCACGCCGGTAAACCCATAGAAAGTGTGGTCTATTGGTCTACTGACTGGAAGAATGAACTTTTCACCCGGGAATGTTCTCGAACTTGTCTCACGCTGGACGCCTGGGTTAGAAATATAATGTGAACAAACTACTGACTTTGTTGGAGTGTTTGACCTAAGCGACTGGTTTGTGTTCCATATAAAATCTCTTAGCGAATGGAACGTGTTATAAATCAGCGACTAAGTAAATTTTCTCAGTCCGATCTAGCTTTCTCCGTAAATAACTTAAACAAAAACATTAGCTCGACTGTTGTCGGGTCTGCGAAAGAAAGATTACATCGTGTTTCAGATACAAATGCACAGTTTTAAGTCAAGGAAAAGCAGAAAATGTTTTTTCTTTGATTGTTGTCAGAACTAACAAAATCCATGAATTATCCAAAAGGATAAGCTCGGGAATGGGTTTATCTGACAAACGCAAAGGCATTTATTACTGCTCAGGTTCGAAGAACATTGCCGAGTGGAGACTCCGATTAAAAAGATGAGCACAAACATCGGTTCTCACACAAAGCTGGTACGAGCCAGGGTTAGGAACGGGATTGTTGTAGCTTTGGCCCTCGCCAGAAATAGCGCCTTGAAGGAAATCGTAAGGCTTCAATTGTTTTCTTAATGAACGATCATGCGATCCAAGACGAAAATTCCGGACCACCTCCTCCCATTTCGGCACGCTCTCGCCACTCAGAAACAGACCATTTCTTTCATCTCTCAATTTGGTCTTTTCCACTTTAAATACCAGAACAGCACAACAAGGACGTCTAACTCGCGCCCACCGCACGCCTAAAACGTCATTTAAGTCTCTAGCGAGATAAAACCCACCGCCATCACTGAAGTCCTTCTTTTCCTCTCCTATTTCCACGTCGATACCTTCATTTGTTATTTTTTTCAGCGCTGTTTTGGTTTGTCCCATGGAAGAAAATTTCACAGTTAGCATTTCGCAGTGAATAGGGGAAATTGTCAACGCCATACTGAGTAGCGTAAATCCTGTCACGCCTGCCCTTTCCATTGACATAAATTACATTGACAGCCTGTTTTCTTTCGCCCGCAGGAGGAAGAGAGAACCATTTATTGTCAGTTCTTTTCTCTCCTAACAGAAGAGGAGCACACTTGTTTATGATTTCACTGCTTCGAAGTCTATTTAGGCTTGAGCTTAATAGGCTGAGCGCTTCACAAGTCACCAAGTTTTCGATCCTAGGTCCTGTTAACAATCCCAGAATTGTTAGCAGAGTCTCTCCTGTTAGTTGACAATCACTTCTATGTTCCTCCTTCAACCAAAAACTCCATAAGTAGCCAGCAGTGCGAAAATCCAGTTCAACAGTCATCTTCCTTTAAGCACTGTTACGCATTCTCTATTTTCCAATTGCCCATAATACACTCTGTTTGCCCCCCAAATTCTGCATAAACCATTGTTTTTAAATGCTCCTGGGAGTATTGCATTTTCCCAAGAGCATTTTAAGGCAATAAGTTATGCAAAATTTGGGGGGCGAACAGAGTGTATTATGGGCAATTGGAAAATAGTCAATGGTATCACATAATATAACATTTGTTGTATAAAAACTTTCCAATTCTAGGAAGTGATTTAAATTAACCTTTTGAAGAGTATTAAGTTTGACAGAAGGAAGTATATATCGAGTCCTTATAACTCCATAACATCGCTCCAACTAACAAAAACTGTTTCGGAATGTTTTTTATTCTATTCTTTGTTCTCGGCTAAAATCATGTTCACGATGACTTTGAAGGTTGTCCCAGTTTTAAAACAATAGGTGGTTTTCATGCAATCTCGGGAGACACAAATAACAATGGTGAAATGAACAAATGCTGGTGGACAAACAAAGGGAGCTAATGAGCAATCTTTTGTTTACCGTCCACCAGCATGGCGGCGATGACGCAACGTGAAAACCACCTCTGAAGGCTTTGTTAAACAAGATGGGAAAGAACAAAATTAGAATGTGAGGAGACTTTGATACAGATTGAATTAAAACGCTTACTCAATACTGCAACCTTATTGCACAGTTACAAATAATGATAACAAAAACGAATGACAAAATCGGATATTCTCCTCACTTTTGTTCAGAGATCTTTTCTAAGTGAGTCTAGAGCTCATTGGCCTCGGCATGTTTACAAAATTCCGACTTGTTTAGATAGCAGAATATCGCACACGTTAATTGATACGTCAGCTGCTGATTGGATGTTATATTTCGCCTGATTGCACTTACAAATGTCTTAAATAAATTATTACCCTTACGTCAAATTCCCATCTTCTTTTGTTTTTTAAATCTTGTTATCATACACTCCCATACCGAAAGACAAAAGAAAATGAAATACGGTGGAAGGTGGGGTGTCTGTAAAACACCGCGTACCGGATACCTGTGGATGGCGGATGCGGATGCGTATGGAAAAATGCGGATAACAAAATGCGGATACAAAAAAATGCGCATACTAACAATAATAAAACATAAGTAAGAAGGAAAAAAACGAGAAATGCGGGTGGTAAGAAAACAAACAAACAAAAAAAACATATAAAAAAGAAAGAAATATTTCTTTCAGGTCGCTGTCACATGGTTGGGCCCTTCATGTATAGAACGCATTGTCAGTAGTTGGCACAGGTTACCCCAGGCTTTTTCTCAGTTCTTTGAGCCTTGTAATTCCTTTCATTAATGTCACAGAAACAAGGACGCTCGTTCCTCCTCCTTAAATGTACGCACGCTCTGGCGCACTTCTCCTTTGAGCACAAATAATTATGAGACCTGTACGCAGGGTGCCAGCGCAAAAAAACCGGCCAGCAAAGTTTTGCCTATTATCCGCTTGCTTTGTTATTCTTCCCTTTTCCCAACAGGGAGCCAGTGGTCCCTACAGCCTCAGGCCACAATGCAGAATATTACTAGATCAGTATTCAAACGTGGCGTAATTCACGAAGCATTCTGTCCTTACATTCGAAAGTTAGCGCCATTTTTTGACCGTTACTTTCGGAATTGAATGGTTATCTTCTACCAATCAAAAACAGAACTGTATCGTACGTATTTGTTTATGGACCAATCAGAATGAACTACACGAGCTCCATTAACGAAATTACTAGGAACGCACGTAGACCAACATCTCTGCTGGGACGAAAACATCAAGCAAGTATCGTCGTCTTGTTATGCTACTGTGGCAGTTTTGAAAAAACTAAAAAAGATTTAACCTTTCAAAATCAGGAAAACACTTGTGCAAGCTCTAGTACCTTCTAAACTTTACTTCAGTGGTATCGTCTATCATAATCTACCGAATTATCTGGATAATCGTCTTCAAAGAATACGGAAAGCTTCAGCAAGTTTCGTTTTGGGACATTATGCAATCACCGATGACATCACCAAGCTCAAATGGTTAGTACATAGCCCTGCATGGCCAAGCTATCTCAAAGTATACATCATTAAACATATGAGGACTCTACGATCTAGTTCAGGAATATCCTTAGTTACACCAATTGAATCCGGTACATTCCAATATGAAGCTGCTAAGCTCTTCAACAAACTAGTTAGAAACTGCTGAGATTTTAGCACATTTCCTAAAGCGACATTTAACTATTTGATGGAGAGAATTAACAAAACATGACTGTACATAGCAGAATTATATTTTCATTCATACATGGATAAATTTTTTAGGGGGGCATCTATCACATAGTTTTTAGAATAGTCTCATTTGTAAATTCCTAGTAATGTAATATTTAATTAGTCTCTTGTTTTGTTTTTGTCGTTACAATTACTTTCTTTTTATCATTTCCACATGAAGAGCCACCTTTGTGGAAATACTGGAAATAAAGTCGTTATTCGTATTCTTATTGTTCTCATTCTTCTTGGTAGTGGTAGTGGTAGTGGTAGTGGTGGTGGTAGTAGTAGTTGTAGTTATAGTAGTACATAATCTGGCCTCAAAAAGATCCGATCAGGGTTACTTTTTGGTTTGGCACCAGTC